CAAACATCAGGTAGTTTAGATACATCCTGTAGTCAATTTTGTGTACCTTCGTTATGCTGTTTTTAGCAGTTTATACAAACTATATATTTATACAAAGATTTATTATTTTAATGCTTTCTTCTGTTTGTACGAAAGTATTTCCTTGTCTTCAATCTATAAAGACGGAAAAAAATTAAATTCCATATATTATAAACAGATTAATGTTTGAAATCTCTTTTCAACAATCAATACTACTGCTGTCTCAGTATAAGCATCTAAACATTTAGATGAAATTCCAGGATAACTGGATTTCTCTCAGTTTTGCAATTTTAACTGGTCCCTGTTCATTTTTTCGGATAAGGATGAATAACTGCAAATTTAAGGTTAATTTAACTTTTACCTTTGCATTTAACCCATCTCTATGAGAGCAGTGGACAGGATGAAGCACCCTGTATCTGGGACTAGGGGTTCTGCTCAGGCACATAGAGTGGTAGGCTGTGGGGTCTAAACCTTTTACTTGCAGTCTTCTCAATACAGGCACTCTTCTCCAACCCCAAAGCCACAAGTCCCCCACCTCTCCCACTGGGAAGAGTTCAAAATTGTTCCATCATGTGTTATTTGTTTATAAGTGACTTACAAATAAAGAAAATATAAATGTATTGAGGTTTGGCATAAAACAAAGGAGTAAAAAAAGCGGCATAACCAACAACACTCTGATGTTGTGGAGATGTTTCTATTTGAAAGGTTTTTGGAATCTGCATTACATTTAATTACAAGCAATATTTCAGCAAAAATAATGTTTCAAAGCAGATGATGAAACAGCACAAAACTAGTTCTGCTTATACACCTTAAACCTCCATGAGCTTAGGGATACAAGAAAGAAAGAGGTGGTCAGTTATCTTTCTTTCTGTATACTTCAACTTTTACTATTTGTATGGAAGACTACCAAGTACTGTCCTATTATGTTGCAAAAGGTATTATTGGCAGCAAGTCAGTAGAAGTAGCACAAGGAATGTTTTAAAAGACGAAGAAATTTAATTTAATTTAATTTTCCAGTGTGAAATTACAGTATGCTACTGTAATGAAACATTATTAAGAAAGGGCTATCTATTGTTTGTTTGTTTTTTCTTTAGATTCCTTCCACTAACCTGTCCAAACAGGATAAGTTTGAAAGCTGTCACACAAGTAGAGTTCTTTCAAGGCCATGCTTCATTCACACTGCAGTAGCTGTCTAAGATTTTAAGAATTTCTTTAAAGCACTACTCAAAAAAACACATAACGTGACAAGCAATATATTATTACACTTTTAACTGATCCTTAGCTTTCATAGGTAGTGAAAAGACTGAAATATTTGTATAGTATGGAAGAACAATAACAAAACAAAAACAACAACCACAAAAAAAACTGATAAAAAACAAAAAACAAATCAAACTTCCCAAACTTGTGTCAGGAGGAATAAGGGATAGTTTTTTTGCACCACATTGTTTTACTTAAGTGGACTGCTGACGCTGTGAGCAGTTTGCTGGCATAGCGCCAACCATGGAGCGATGCCTATCCTATTTAAACCCCTCCTGCAATCAAGCAAAAGGTGAGGGATCACGGATAATCATTGCGAGGAATTACTCTTCCTTAATTCCGGACTCTAAGGATTTATTCCAACTGTCTTATCTTGGTCATCTCACTCAGGCAGAGCATTACTAAAGGTCTGGAGACTCCAACTTGTGAAAGAATCCCAGGACAGGACCCATTTTATCCTTTTCCTTTTTTTTCAGCATGCAGCTCCCTGAACTTTTACAAAATGCTTCATTCTACACTGGTCCACAGAATGAGCCCCCTTTGTCACGAGCTGGCTTCATCGTGCTCTCCATCATCATGGCCTTTTTTACAATTCCTGCCATTGTGCTGAATGCTACAGTGATCATCGTGTCCCTCATGAACAAGCAGCTGAGGCAGCCACTCAACTACGCTCTGGTAAACATGGCTGTAGCTGACCTGGGCACAGCAATGACCGGGGGGGTGCTGTCCGTGATCAACAACGCCCAGGGGTACTTCTCCCTGGGCAGGACAGGCTGTGTGATGGAAGGCTTTGCAGTGTCCTTGTGTGGTGAGTCACAGCAGTGGAACATAATAGGAACTGCTAACTTTATTCTACTAGTTACACCAACTGTTTTCCTTCTACATTCATGCAGGAATCACATCATTGTGCTCGGTGGCTCTGATTGCAATAGAGAGGATGTTTGTGGTGTGCAAGCCTCTTGGACCGATAACCTTTCAGAAGAGGCATGCTGTTGGAGGTATAGTCTTGTCCTGGCTGTGGTCTTTTACTTGGAACTTGCCCCCACTCTTTGGATGGGGCAGATATGAGTTAGAGGGCGTTGGGACGTCCTGCGCACCAGACTGGCACAACACAGACCGCAACAACGTCTCCTACATCATTGCTTACTTTGCTGTGTGTTTTGCTTTTCCTTTCACTCTCATCCTGATCTCTTATGCAAAACTTCTGTGGACATTGCACCAGGTGAGACATTTTGAATCACAAAAACATTTAATTGTATTTAAGTTTAAAAAAAAAATTTATTTTATGTTTTAATGCCTCATTTACTTCAGAACTTTGGTGGAGAAGGCTTATATCTATTTAAGAGATTTATAGGGAAAAATAATGATTATCTTGCTCAGTAAAGGTATGAACTAAAGAAAAAAATAATGCATCACTGGCTTATGACAAAGTAGTTATGAGATAGCAACTGAGTAAATGCATAAGATTTATTTTACAATAATCTGTCAATTATGAATGTCTTCAAAATGGTTTGTAGTTGGTGAATTTTTTGGGGTCGAACAGATAATCTGGGGTGGCCAAACAAATCTCTTATTAGAACTTTCAGAATTGTATTGTGCTCAAGAATCTCTCTCAATTTTAACTTCTGATTGATTACAAATTTTTAATAAATTATGCTATGAATTTTTAGAGTGTACTGCCAGACATTTTGAAGTCTGACAGATATGAATTCCTTTTGTTGCAGGATAATTAAAAAAATTTTGAAAATAAATTGGTACTGGTTGCAGAAGAAGCAGTTGATGAGCTTGCAATTGTGGTATTTTCAGTTTCCTGCTTTTAAACCTAATATGGCCATGGCTCTAATAATATACCATAAATGATAATCAATCTACTGTGCCTCTCGCCCGTAGTCAGCTGGAGATAGGCACCAGCACCCCTTGCGACCCCACTTGGAATAAGCTTGACAGAAAATTGATGAATGGACTGATGATAATCAATCTTAAAATCAAGGCTTTGCCTTTCATGACATATAATCAAAGAAGTTTCAAACATCTTTATTCTTATCTAAGTTGAGGATCAATCTCCCACTCCTGATCAAAAATTTGTAGGATTTAATTATAATAAAGATGACACTTCACAGTTCAAGGTCTGCGTTTAGTGAGCTTCCTGTTGTCAGACACTTCTCATTTCTGACATTCTGCTTTACAGGTTTCAAAGATGACCTGTGTGGAAGGAGGAGCAGTTGCTAAAGGGGAAATGAAGGTGGCATGCATGGTGATACTGATGGTCCTTTCATTTCTGATCAGCTGGCTGCCTTATGCCGGCCTGGCCATGTTTGTAGTCTGCAGACCAGAAGCAAAGATTCATCCGCTGGTGGGAACAGTGCCAGTTTACTTGGCCAAGAGCAGCACTGCTTATAATCCCATCATCTATATCCTACTTAATAAACAGGTACTTAAACTATGCTTTAATTATAGAAGAAATTATAAATAGATTGTAAATCAGAGGCCAGTTTCAAAAAGCAGGTTTACTGAAAACTCAAAACTTTTTAGACTTTAAATCTGGGAAACTCAGAATTTTCGGTTTCACTAAGAGACTTTACACAACCTCTGTCTCTGTTGCTGTAGTAACATTCTCCTCAGAGTTAACCTGGTCGGGAGCAGATTTTCCTTAATAAACTCAGAGTGTCTTCTGTCTCTTCCCTCATTTAAGCCAATCATATTGTTTTATTTGCTGATCCAGTCAGGAGAGTTTTTTGTAGTTTTGTACAAACATAGCATGTCCTATTGAATAGGAGGCATTCATTCACAGAGCTTTAGATATCCTCCTTTTAATATTCAAAGAATGATCTTTATAAGTGCAAATGTTTCACCTCACAATCATCACAAACATCCACAACCTTATCCATCTTCACATTTGCAGCATTACAGACTTCTTCAACAGGTATTTAGAGAGACAGCAGGCACAGAACCCCATGAGATGATGCACAGGTCCTACTTTACCTGTTACATTTGTATACTTCATCTTCACCTGCTGAAAGATGCACTTCTCCCCCATGAGAATGTAAAATAAGTACAATACAATACATTGATCCACTAGCATTCGGACAGTAAACTAGAATTCTAGTTTATAATCAGGAAAAAGGCACTTCCTTGTTGTACCAGTAACTAGTCAAATAGGTTCTTAACTGATAATCGCCTTTTCATAGTTGTTACATATATGGTCAACTTTGAGTGGACCTACTCAGTGTTGATTAAACTAACTCACTGCAGCTTTTATGAAACCAAAAACACAGAGTTCCCAACCTTTGGCTACATCAATTCAGACTTGAGGATTTCCATCTGAGATTGTTAAACCTGCTTATTGAAATAGGGCTTGGGTAAAATTACCTCTGCTCTTTTGTAATCACAACAGCCCCATCTAGTGGTGGTAACGCACATAACACAGATATCCTGCTGTAGAAATTATTTAAAATTTGTATAAATAACAATTATGTTTTGGTAGTGTTGAAAATTTTACCCAATCAACTATTAAAAAGAATTTAAAAGGATTTCCATCGCTTTTGTACGCTAACAAACCACAGTGACAGATCTTGCATGTTTCATAAGCTCTGTATTTCTGTTTTTTAGTTCCGTAAGTATGCAGTTCCCTTCCTGCTATGTGGCAAGAGTTTTGACGATGAAGATGAGGCATCGGAGGCAGTGACTACTGTGGAGACAATAACTACAAATAAAGTGGCTCCCAGTTGAAATGTAAAATTCATTTATAACCAGAAATGTATATGAAGCACAATAAAAAAGTTTCTCCTTGTTTTGTGGAAATGGATGTTTTCAAAAATGTGTAATATGGACACACACTGATTTAGAGTTTGTAATTCAAAATAAATATGAACATTAATTCAGCATAAATTTATTTAATGATGATAGAAAAAAATATCAAATGAAGTCAAGGCCAAAAAAGAAAACATACAAAAAATGTATTTATACAAAATCTATAGGGATTATATATATATTAAAGCATTTGCTACTGAGAGAAATGATGTTGCACCGAAGAAAAAAAACAACATAAAACATTGGGGGAAATGTCAAGACTTTCAAGTAGAGAACATTACTATGGGTCATCCCATATGTTTGTACATATTTTACAGCATCTTCTATTTTAATACAGATTTCTGAACATTAATAGTTGTTATAGTAATAATAATAATAGTAACAAGATGAAGAAAAGCTAACAAAAAAGTTTCTATGAATATGTGTTTCTCTGTAAACTGGTAGTTTGTGGTTTATTTTTTTTTCCAAACCTGCAAAACAGAGGAACAGTGCACCTTGAAAATATTTTGTTATGCTCTTCATTCCCAGCATTTTGAGGTGGGGTGTAAATGACAGATACAGTTTCCACTAAACCATACACATGGTCACAAAAAGTACAAAAATCTTCTCACCTTATTACACAAATCCGTTTATAAAAAGAAAAAGCACTATACATGTACTTGTGCAAAGACAAACAGCTATGTGCTAATATTTAAATACCATTGGTATAGACTAAACCAAATTATTATCTTTTCTCAGGAATTCCCTGACATGAGGTAAAAGTAAGTTTTCTTTATCTTTAGTTTCAAAACAACATTTCAAAAGTCTTTACAAAATAATGCATATTTTCAGTTCATTAGTTCTGCAATTGCTACAAATAGTATAATGTGCCTTTTATGTGCATTGGTCCTTTTGGCCATAAACAAAAAGGACTAGAACACATTTTGTTTGAAACTCACAAACAATTCAAAGAGCCCTTTCAATGTGCACACAAAGTGGAAAACCTCAACGTTCAGGACAGAATCAAGCATTCAGATTGAGAGTGCACCAACCAACGAATCAAACGCCCATGAGCAACAGATCATAGCAACCTTGAACAGCATTTGAAGAAAGTTTATCTCTCTATTGTCATATTTAATAGAGACACTAGTTTATTTAGTCCAGTATGTGCTGGGCTGGCGAATGGTAACCGATGATACATAAACAAAATTGAGCAATTACAAGAAAAAGAATAGCTTGTTGAAAGTCTCCACACTGTGCAGATATTCTGACGTAATGATATATGGTCACAGTTGCCTAACGAGGTATAAACTGTATGCAAGAAACCAGGTGGGTTAAGAGAGAAAGGGACATGGACGGGTTTCTATTGCTTTGCACCTCCCAGCCTATCTGACACCAGTACACCCCCTGCTGTTCAACATAGGGAATAAGTTGCAATGTCCTTTGGATGACAGCCACATAACCTCAAACACCATGGCGCCTTATAATCGTATAAATTTACACTGCCATTTGTCACTTTAAAACAACAAACTTCATGAATATTATAAGGATTGTATGAAACAGAGCAACACAAATTAGTGAACAACAGTGAAGTGGGATTATTTTTCACATGACTCGTACATAAAAACCCCAAATGTTCAACTAACTAGTCCCTTTTACTTTGATGCCCCTGGAAGAAATCTAGTACAACCTATAGCTTTAAGAGGCCACGCATCCATAGAAAATAAAAAGTATCTGTTTTATTTAGTTTCAGTTCTTCCCTGAAGGGTTTAGAGGGTTGTTAAAAAACATTGGTGAACAAGCAACACCAGGAAGACCAAGATGCATGCTGTGGCTTTCTCTATGTTAAGTAGAGGTCAATCCTCAGCTGCCCTGCCTTTATTCTGCCTCAGCTGCTCCACATTTCATTTGATTAGCTCTTTTGGTTTGTTTGTTTTTTCATTCACCAATCCTGTGTTAGGGTTTGAAATCGGTGGGCTTCATTAAGGATTGTAGGATTCATTATACTGTACCACCTATTACTCTTCTCCATGCAGTTTTTTTGTTTGTTTTGTTTCTGCAAATTTTATGTTTTATCAAATATAAACCACCAGAATTCTCATCCCAAGTCCCTGTGAGCAGTGTGATCCAAATGATAAACCTTGACACAGAGCATTAATCAGATAAACAGCCAAGAGGCCCATTGTAAGATAAGCTACATGAAATCCACAGGTTTAGTGGGGGAACCTGTCAAAAATAACACAGCAAATCAAAACTTTATTGAAGAATGACAAAAAAAAAAATGAAGAAATGAAGGCATTATTCAAAGACAACCATTACAAGTACTGTTTTCTGTTCTGAGCTTTGAAAGTGTACATGTGTGGGTTGGGGTCAGGCTGCTTTTCTGCATCAACGGCAGATCGACTTGTTAAAGCTGATCAGAAGATGCTAGACAATTTTAGATATTAGAAAATCAGTTAGGGGCAGCAGAAACTTAAAGGAATGCATCCCAAGCTTGTATTCAGAGCTGCAATGGAATGGAAAGCATATCCATGATAGGATGGCCCACTCAAAGTACAGATTTAAATTCAGCTACGAGTTTGGGGAAATGCCTGAAAGTTAGTGTTCAGATACATTGTAAACATCTAATCCGACTGATCTATTTTGTAAAAAGGTAATAAACAACAGACAAAAATGTAACTCTCCAGGTGGGAATATTTTCAACTATGTTCTGTTTTCATTAAAGTATTAATTCAGGAAACTATACATTACATGCCATACATTTTAGTTTTTTATTTGGAAAAAATGAAAACTATATAATCATGCTTCAATTTCACAACTATGCGTCATCCTGTTTTGTTTTAATCATATAAAATCCCATAGAAAGTATCAATTTTTTTTTGTCGAAAGGAGTCAGTATGTGGAAACATTCAAAAAGTATTAATATATCTGCAAGACACTCTACATACACAGGGGGTCTGATTGGAGAATGGAGATTTAAACCAATACTATGATGATTCAGGGGTTTGATAGGGTAAAATCCCAGCACGAGCCTCAAAAATATCAGTTTATCTGACTTTTACTTCCTCTAGCAGCAAAAAAAATGCATTTAATTCAGTGCTGACAAACCATTTGATTCAAAAACCAACAAAAAAGCAGCAATGTTTATGCATGGAAGCATTTCAATTAATGTGCACACAGCAGGAAATATCCAAATAAATATATTCCTTATATAGCCATTTACCTTAGAATCTTGAGGTTTATCTGCACAAAAAAATCTGCTTATAGAAAAACATATTAGAAGTCATTTGAATATACTGTGCAGGTGTGTCACTTTAGAAGAATTTCTAAAAAATATTTCTTAGGCAAAATAAAGAGTGCATATTAGCAAAAAGAAAAGGCTTTTAAATATCAGAGTACCTCATTAAAATAATGCAAGTTTTTTTTATATAACATGAATCACAATGGTTCATATTGCTGATCTTTTAAACGATACATAATTACAAAATATAGTTATCTCTTTACAAAGTGTCTCTTGCTATATTATACAATTTACAGCATATCAACTAGGAAATATTAGTCAGGCTATTCTTCAATGTTTAAAACAACCTGCCTGCTAGTGCATTTACCTCAAATGCTTATGTTTCTTTAAACACATACAACTCAAGTTGAATGATGCTAAAAGTAGGACAGTTAATTCCTGCATAATCTGTTATGACTCGACATTTTAAATTAGCTTCAGCTATCCTAAGACAACCTGCTCAAACAACAAAGGTATTAAGCTCTTTTTTTCCCCCCCTATAGACTAAATGAGTAGATATGCCTCACTATGCTTGCATTGAAAACTTGCATGATATGCCGAACCTTAATAAAGTGACTGAGGTAATGACATCATACATCTGATTGTCATCACCCTTTGAGACCCGCCCTGCATAGTGTCTCACACCTTTGCCAGCTCTGGCCTTGTACCTCTCCCTAGCATCAAGTGTCCTGGCGTCCAATTGGCTGCAGGCTGCGTTCCTTCCAGGTGAAGATCTTCAGTAGAGAGTTCCTGTCAACGATTTGCTCTTGCCTCCTCTGCTGGCAGGAGGTGCTTCTATGGTGCTTCTTCCTTCTGTATGCCTTTTCTGCTCTGTGTAAAAGGCACTTCTTTTGGTTTGAGCCAACAGATGCAATTCTGATTTTAGAATTTATATGTTCACTGTTGTGTGCGGTCAGATCTGTCAATCCCTTCCAGCTGATGCTATAAAGTCGTAATGCAGATCATCTCATCTGCCAGATCCTCCTCATAAGGAACTCTAGGTTCTGTCTCTGGCTCCTCATCACTGTAACTGGCTCCTGTGTCTGGCAGCTCGTAGTCCCTGGGGGTCAGAAGAGGAAACACGTTGACCCCATTAATGCCAGGAGCGATCCCTTCGCTCAGCAGGTGGCTGGCTGCACTCTCCATCTCGTCTATTGTCATCTCACATGCATCTGCTATTTCATGCTTCGTGGCAGCGACAAATTTGGGATCCTTGGCATATCTTCCAAGCCCCTCTGATATCAAAACCTACAGGAAAGAAAAAAGAAAGTAGTTACAGTAGTAGTAGTACTTTATCTTCTTTGAGTAAATGTTAGTTGAACATTAAAATGAAGATGTCTAATTTCACAATTCTATTAAAAATAAAGTGCCTTTCAAACATATTTCTGCTTTGCATATTTCTATATATTACATATCTGCATTTTTACTTTGTCCCAGTTTAAATAAAGAAATTAGTTTATTTATTGGGATTGTATGTAATAGAAAAAAAAAGAAAAAAAAAACAGTGCTAAACTATCAAGTAAAATTAAAGGACTCATGTTATCTTCATCAAGTACAAGTTGGAAGGAAAGAATCTGTGAGCGGTTTGCAAGTCTACAGTACCAACAGCTTCTCAGTTAGATCGACATTCTTGCAAATGAAATATTCTAAGAAAATATGCTAATAAAAATGTGATTTATCTAAATCCTTCCATTATGGACACAGGCTTTATTTAAATTCTTGCTGCCATGACAGAAGATGAACTTTTATCCTAGTATCAAGTCTTTACATTTTCTAATGGGCTTCTTTCCAAAATTAAGATGTATTTTAGCTTAATCTAACCTTCGAGAGAATAGTCAAAAGAGCCAACCCAAGGTTAGGTTTCGTTAATGTAAGGTGCCATGTTTGTTTTAAGTAACACAAGGGATTTTCGTGTGGAATTACAGTACAACTTGGGTCACTCCACAAAGTAGTCCTGTAAACACATTCACCCACCTGAGCTGTGGATCTTTGCAGCTCCTTGAGTGTTACCAATTAGGACAGGTGATTTTATAAGATCTTAAACAGGTATGTAAGAGCAAAGGGGGCTGGATAAAAACATATTCTACACTTTTTAGATATCTATTTAGAAGAAATTTTAAAAACTAGGTATAACTTTCTTTCCATTTCAGATTTATGCTACTCTTTGTCGGTCTATCACATTAAATCTTGATACAGGACTAGAACTGAAAGAGCTTTAAACTGACCGCTTCAACAAGGCTGGTTGCACTGCCTCTCTTCTGGTGGTACTGGTTGTGGTACTCCAGGGGCACCTGCAGGTGGATGGGTGAGTATGTCCTTTGAGAAAACTCTGGATCATCTGTGTACCAGGAGCTTTTGCGCACAGAGACATGGCTGCCAGAAATGCTATCCCTGCGTGGACGATCCACACGGATCAGGGGGGTGTAGTATGGTGATTCGTCTTTACTGGCTGGGGTGGCGGGTGGTGTGGCCCAGGAACGAGTGGAGCGGGTGGGGGAGAGGCAGTGGGCTCTGCTGGAGTCCAGCCCTGCTACAGCCATAACCTGAGTAGTGAAGAAATGAGACATTTTGACTTTAGCTGGATGCAGAGTGCAAAAAGGAAACATCACTTTTCATGTCCAAGAAAATGAAATCTTTTCAGTTATCTTGAAAGATTTAATCAGAATTAAGATTAAATTGTTGTGATTGTGTGAAGACATAAATTACCTGATGCTGCATAAGGTGCAGTGGTAGAGCAGTACGCTGATGTGGAAGCTCATCCTGGCTACTTTGTCTGCGCAAACACTCAAAGTTAAAGGAAGACCTTCTGTGACCTGAAAGAGGCGAATGTGAACCAGTGAGACACTAAATTAAAATCTATGTTAATAACATAATATCATCCAAAGGCGAACCTTGCTTATTCAGTTTTTTCTAGTTTTAGCTATAAATGAAAAATCAGACATAAAAATCTCAATAAAAAGCATATTATGTTGTCTATACTTGTATACCCTGATACAAGGTATGCTTTTCCATAATAAATTAAAAGATCAACTATTTTTACGTACAGATAAAAATAATTTCAGTGATTCAATAGTTTATTTTCTTGGTAATTGTGCTGCAGCATGTTATGAATGGACTTTAACTAATCATTCTTTGCAATACTAACAAGCAAATACTAACAAGTAATTTATCATGTAATGCATTATTTAAAATATGCAATCAAGCATTATTTATCATTAGTAGGGAAGTGTGGCCTAGTGGTTATGGCACTGTGCTTGGAATCCAAAGGTTCTGAGTTCAAGTCCTACTCGCATGGACTGACACTCTGGGTCCCTGAGCAAGACCCTTAACCCCACACTGCTCCCTCTGTGCTGCACAATGGCAGCCCACTGCTCCCAAAGTGGATGGCTTAAATGCAGAGAGTGAATTTCTCCAATCTGAGATAATTAAGGTTTAATTATTATTTCTATTTGTCTTTATATATATAGCTCAAGTTGTGGTAGTTATAAACATGAAAAAACTTAACAACAGGTCTACTTTTTTAAATAACTTGCATACTGTTGGATCGAAATTTGTTCAGAAGTCCTAACTTGTCCTTTCCATTGTGAGGTACAATTTGTTTTCCTCTCTCATAATTTCCCACAAATAAAAAAAAATACAAAGGTGTTTTTTGTTTAGAACCGGTGTAAAAATGTTTTTATTGCACCATTAGTTTCGTTTATAGATAAGTACATGCTGTACCTTGAGGTGTGGCAGGAAGCAGTCTTCTCTTTGGAGATCTTCGAGAGTCCCGATAGAGAGGCTGCTCATCATCATCATAGTAACTGTCAGGGTGATGGTAGCCTTTAGGAGTTTCATACTCCGTGTCAGAGGTCTGATACCTGCAGGTCAGAGGCTCATTGCTCAAACAGCAGCCAGAAAATCTCTCAAATATGTGCAACTAAATAGAAGGTAAACACGCTGAAGCTTTGAAAATAATACCGTACTGTAAGCCTTAGACAGTAAAGAAGTAATACCTGTCCCCTGAAAGCATACTATCCTCTTCATAAAACTCCTCTCCACTGTAGTATTCCCCAGAGAAGCGGTCCTCATCAATCTCCTCTTCCCTGCGGATGATGGGGTGACGGCCATCGCCTCTCTGGGACCTTAGGGACAATCAGGCAAAACGGTTACTCTAGCTGCATTGCAACGCAGACAGAAGCCTAGGGGGCAGCAAAGCTGGAGACAATCCATATCTACCACAAGGAAATATCTCAAGAAACTGAGCAACATACATTTTTGTCTAGTATTGAATTAAGCAAAATGTATTTTATTTTTATATCAGTGTGGACCAGTTCAGTGTCTAAAAGAGTTTTAGTAATTAATAAAGGATCTTTCAAAATGTTTTAACAAGTATACAACAAATACACACAGAAATGTGTGTGAGAATGATAACTCTTTTTTTTACCCTTTTTTTAAACCCTATTTAATTGTGGCCGTGACTATGATCTTATGAAGATACGTATGTGATGCTGACTACTAATTGACAAATGTCTTGTATCAAAACATGTTGAACATAAATAAATCATAAAAGAAAATGTATCATAAAACAAAAAAACCCACATTGTTTGCTTTAGGGAACAATCCAAGTTGTTAAGATATTTTTTTTGTACTGTCTCAAACTTGATCTGTGGCTTGTATACAGTAGGCTGACATTGACTTCTTGACATCTTAGGCAATTTCTGTGATAACTGTGGAGGTTTAACTTGGGCTATTTTAGCTGACTCATAACTCTTTTTATTTTTATGAGGAGCACCAATTGCTTCACTTATGTCAGTGCTCATATGTATAACCTTGGAACTTTCTGACAAACACCTGAATACTGCATGCCAAAAATCACCTTTGCTTGGTATCTCTTTACAAAGTAATATTATGCATGGTTTTGTCCAAATGAGATAAGATTTGTATCATAAAAAACCCCAAAACACTAGATCCTTTTATTGTTTTGACTTGTATGATTTGAAAAAGGGGTGTTTTTCTTGACAGTTAACAGAAATAATTATTCTTTCCATGCTAACTAGTAACTCTTTGTCATATTATCATTTATTTTATTTCTAATAGGCATTAACTAATCAAATACATATACTGTATTTCTGAGAAGCTGTTAAATGTTTTACACAATTTCAAAGCAACTATTAGGTATCCGATACACATGTGGACAAAATTGTTGGTAGCCCTCATTTAATAAAAGAAAAACCCACAATGTCACAGAAATAACTTGAATAATAACTTGAGGCCTGTTTCATGAGTTTATTCTTTTATATCATGCTGTTAAAGCATTGTTGAAAAGCCTCTCTGACTTTCATTTGTTATTTTCATCTAATTTAATTTATTATCACTTTTGTCAGATTCCATTAGTTCTGTGATCATTTTGGATTTTTCTTGTATCAAAAGACAGGTACCAACAATTTTTTTCCATGTGTGTATTCCAGTTGTACTACACATCCGTTAAAAGTAAAAACGTAAAAAAAAATACACTCAAGAAAATATTTTTAAAAATATCTCAAAGGAAAAGTCTGGTCATATTTAGAATTCAAACTTCTGAAAGTACTTTAAATATGAAATTATTATATACCCTGTACTATTCAATAAATAATAAGTGCTTTTAATTAAGAGTAATTTCATTTGATTGTGCTTTACCTGAGACATCCATGTTTATCAAAGAACACTACCTGCCGGTTTGTGATGTCACGGCGCGGTATCGGCTGTTGAGCAAGTCCAAGTGCTCTATCTGGTTTTTTCACAACGCTATTATCCAAGTCATCTTGAAAACATTTTTCTACGAAATTTTGGCTATATATTATGTGTTTTTTCTCTGGCCAGAACTTCAATGGCAAATCCTCCCTCTTCAAGTTGGCAATCCAACACCGAACCTATCCTTGGTGGATCTTGAGTCGGAAAGGTAAAATAACATATTTTTCACTTTTACTCGATGTATTACAACATCCAACAGCCATGCACGTGGGCATTGTCAGTTTAACAATAGCTCTCACAAATTTCAATGGTGAAGTCCTCTCAAAATCTTAAATAATTGTCGATTTCAGATGTGTCTAGTAGTTCCATTGATTATGCTTGTAAAGCGGGAAGAATGGTGCTAGGCTTACCGCACCATGATGTCACTGCCGGAAGATTTCAGGAGTGAGGTGTTACTATATTTGGGCAAAAATGGCCGCCCCCGGACTCAGTGATCGTGACAAAAATTATTGTTTTTATTTTTTTACTGATTAACGCTATATTCATTAAATCACCACGAACGTATTCGTTTTAGGTATAGATAATGATCCATTGATTATTCCTTGCTGACCAGACTTTTGCGTTACTGATTTTCTGAATGCTTAATTCAAATTTTTGTAAAACTCAGGACAGAATGACACATTTTTTAATCTTACAAGTAATTTTAAATTCACTCATTTAAGCTCTAAATGCAAAATCAAATGATAAAGCAGACATATAAATCAATGAGGTTGCTATATACATCTATTTTTAATCTTTTCCAAAAATAAGTAAATTACAAGACTTGGGAAATGTTGGTCTTTAGGAAAACATCTATGTTATCCCTTTATACTTACTGTCTATTGATGTATAGCACTGACACAAGTGCTTCTTAACAGAAATGTATTAAGACAAAAAATAGCATAGTTTACGAGGATTTTTGAATTCAGTAACAATCATGTCAACCATGTAAACATGAGACAAAAACAGCCCTTATTGCCTTTAAGATATAAAGCTGAAACCAAACCTAATGAAAACATACCTAACATATGTCTCATAGTAGCGCCTTCTGTCCAAGAGAGCAAAGGGATGATTGAGAGAAAGCATTTTAGTCAGAAAGGAGAAAGGTAGAACACAGAAAAAGGGAGGAGGAGGACAGTCATCTAGATCTCATGCAGTATATCAACCATATACAGCATTCCCACATATAAATATATATAAGGGGAACAGTACATGCTTCTATACTCTAGGGAAGTGCAGAATTTGAAAGCACAACTAAGGATAAATCAATTAGCTAACTTTTATCTTTAGCTAAGATCAACCTGATTATGAAAAAGCAACTAAAAGCAAGAATGTTGTCCGAGAAGGCAGTATGCATTTAATTCTTTTCTGTAGAGCTGCAGAATCAGAATGTCTTTTTTAGTACAATGAAAACAATTAGGTTTTATGTAAACACACTCACATTCTCATCTTGCTACAGTACATGTGAGGACTGTGTGGCTCCCATTAAAAGAAAAGGTGTATGATTTGGCTTTTTTTAAATATTATTCTGTCAGTAGGAGTTAATTCTGGAAATTAACGTGGTCAACCTTGTTGTTTTACTGCTTTTGGGTTAACAAAATAAACCACATTAGGCACAATTATCAGCAATTGTCCTCACTTTAAAGATATCAGTTTTTACACAAAAAAATTTAATTTCTTGAGTTACAGATATCAATCAAACAACAGCATAAATACTGGCATTGGTAGCATAAATACTAACAATGTCAAAGTATTTTGTTGGAGTATGTGGAAAGTTTCAGAGAGGAATAGTGGAAAAGTGTCTAAAGAAGAAAACATGACCAAAATTTATCTTGAACCACTCAAGTTTTATCATAACTTTTGCAATGAAAGCGGAAATCTTCTTCTGAGGTTTTTGCTTTTATATCTACACGTTTATCGTTTTGTTTTCCATATCTGTTACATATCATGAATAAGAATAAAACTGTGTCTTAGTGAAAAGAAGAAAGAGATTTTGGTAAGTTCTAATTTACAAATTTGTATCTTAAAGTAACACTATGTAACTTCATTCCCAAGCATTAGCTTAATTTTAAAAATATTGAATTATTCTTCAGGTCGATAGATGATGTGATGTTTATCAACGTTCAATAAAAGCTTCCCTTCTCAAAAAATCGACTTTTGTAACTTAAGATCTATCTTCGAATGACCATGTGACCCAGAGCGCCACTTTACAGCACACTTAGCCCCTCTTAAAAATGTGATCTAACGAAGCTAAATATTTTTGTTAGGGTACAAAACAGGTATGACACTTCTCTGATGAGAGACATTATTTTTTTTCTTATGTAGGATATAATTTAGAGGGACGAATGTGGCCTTGTTTTTCCTGCAACTCCATGACTTCCTAATTTGTTGGTCCAAAGGGTTCTGATATGAGATTCCAAAGCACAGAGAACTGTCTAATTTTATCATAGTGCAACATTGCCAGTTGCTTTTAGAGACACTAAACCTGGAAGTTAAAGGTGGCTAAAAATCTGAAACTTTCGATCTGAAATAATATCTACAGAGGATAAAAAAAGGGCATGACATTGGGAATCAAACACAAAATAAACTAATATTTCATGCTTTAATTTAGCTTAGTGTAAAAAAGAAAAGGTCTACCTTTGACCCTGGGGTGTCCGTGGCTTGTTATAGTCATAATAGGAGGTACGTAAACCTGGGTAACCATTAGGAGGTGTACGTTCATAGTAGATATGGTGTCCTCCATTGGGCATACTGGACATGTTGGCATTGTTCAAGTTGATGTTGGTGGATTTAGGAGATTTGCCATAGGAGTTATGGTGGCGGTGGTGATGGTGGTGGTGGTGATGATGGTGGTTGGGATGGGCCATTGCATTAGCCCGAGATAGACGCCCCACTGGTTGCTCCATGTGAGCATAGTGAGGAGGAGGCTGCACCTGCAGGGGGCGCTGTGTGGTGTTGGTTTGTTGACCGTTGGCTCGCCGATGGCCACCGTTCATAAGGTGGTTACCAAAGAGGCCGCCGTTACGCTGCAAAACAACATTCAAGGCAAAACCAGAGGAGTTGCTTACTCTCTTTAAACAGCTGTATATAAACTCCACAAATGTTTAGTCTGACAACTGGCACTAGTAAAAGTCATGATCGCAAAAGCAGGTTTGAAAGCTGGTTAATGGCATGGTATGTGAGCAAAATGACAGCAGTGTTGAGATTATTAACATCAATGGAGGTAAAACCAGGCATGGGCCAGCAGTGAACATTGGCATTATGATCAGTTCAAGAAAATACACCAGTTTTTACTGAACTACACACAATTTACCTGTGCTTAAACAATCACCACTAAAACTACCTCAGGTACTGCTATATTACATTACTGTTACATCATTACTACTTTTGGAGATATAAAACATATTATCATAGATTCTAAAAGTTTTCGATTTTGATTCACAAATACATGTATGATTGAACAGAACACGTGAATGTTTTGGCAAGCTCTGGACATTTTTTATCTTTTACATACATGTTTCTGTTTCACTTTTCTCTAGGGGCAATCATGCTTCTATAAATAAAACGACTGCTGTTTTAGATCAGCATTTTTGCTTGGGTCAATAAACTATTCTATTCAATATCTACAAATCTACCAAGAAGAAGCCTAAAATTTGAATTAAATCTAAAATGTAAAGACAATGTTAAATAGAAACCAAGTATATTTAAAAATAATACACTTTAAATTAATTTACTTTCTGAAATTAATATGATGCCGTTTTTGCCATTTTAAACCCAACTCTAGGACCATGAAAAAGAGATGGCTTGTTAATTGGATGGACATACATAACGCTCTATTAAGCCCAAAGACCCCAAATTCCTTCACACTACCCCTAAACCTGCCCTGGGGCTGACTGATTCAAGCAGTGCCAACAAGACACAGACAAGAGGTAAGGGGGTGAACTGTCTTGCCCAAGGGCACAACACCAGAGACACATAGAGCAGGGGCCCAAACCAGCAATTCCACAACCCCTACCTCTCAAACCAATGTTTTGGACCTGCTGGGTCAATAGAAAGCCTGACCTAAAACATATTCTGAAACTGCTAAATCTAGAACAGAATCAGCATAAGAACAAGGGGAATGTTCTTTCCTTTCATCATGGCGGAGGCTTGTTCCTAGCTTTTGCTTTAAAACAGTCTGACCTTAAGGGAATTTTATCATGTTTTAGAACCAGAAAAACTGGCAATTAAAAACTAAATACAGCATTGTTGGCTTGTTTATTATTTGGATTAAAATAATATATTCTGAGTCTATTGTGAACATCTGAGTAACAAGTTTTCTGATTACAGCTCTTATCACTAGGAGTTTGCTACTGCAGTATATTATAATAGAGATTTTTTTTCTTTTTAATTCATCTTTCTCTAGTTTGCTATTAATGTTTTACAACACTTTTAGATGTGTTTCTCCTGGCTTGTCAAAGTTTTTTACTATATATTTTTTTACATATATTTGTAATTATTGGTCATAAAAATCAATATAACTATAATTAGCTGCAAGCCCTGGCTCAATTTAAAAGGAAACACCCTTTAAAAGAGTGTTTTATGCACCTGGAATATCTATAATGAACCCCATGTTTTTTTAAACTCTGGAAACTGCTGAGAGGTGTATTTGCCATTTATAAAAAATCAGTAGCAGCCTTAAAGTCCATCTGTTTTAAATTTGAAAGCGCTTAAAATTCAGCTAAGTTTTAAAATAACTGCACAGTCTCAGCCTCATATGTGAACTGGTTCTTACATGAAACACTTCACATAATGTCTTATATACGTGTCAGGTATGATATCAGCAAGGGAAGAAGCCAGAGAAGCAATCTTTATTGTTAAATGAACTACTTTACCATGAGGCGTTTTAGCTTGTTAAAATCATAATATAAGTTGATACTGAAAACCTGGCCCATGCCTAGGGAAATGTGGAAAAAATCATATGAAATTTTAATTGTTAAACTCTGAAAAAGACTCTTTAATTTATAAATATTTGTGTGTACATGTGCATTTTCATGTAATCTGTGCATGTGTAATATGAAAAGAACCCATGAATCATATTAGCATGAAGCTAAATTTTGCATCAAACATTTCCCCCCTCATGCAGGGTTAAATCATTTACCCTATAAATTTCCTCGTCTTCCTCTGGAATAAAGTCTACTAGTTCATCATCCTGTAGGTCACATGATATCGCTCGGCGAATTTCAGGCCCAATATCATGCAGCGTGCGAAGGCCAGCCTGTAATCATGACAACAAAAGGGCTAAGCACTAAGGCTGGGACCTTCATTTTACACCTTAACCATACAGTCACAGCCACCACACATACTAAGCATACACGCACCTTTACCGTGCAACACCTGACATTTACAAAACTGACAGATAAGGTAGATGAAAAACAAGAGACAGACACAAGCGCTTTATGTATATAATTATATATGTATATGTACTTGTAGTATCTCAAGCAAAAACCCAACTCAAACTCAAGTCCCAGACATTTAAACATTCAAGCAAAGTAGTTAGCACTTTCTTTAAAATATTATCCTTTAGGTTTCCTTTATGTGACCTGGGTGAAAATATTCTGTTGCACCAAATTGTTGTAGTTATTTTTAGTTAATATTTATTTAAAGAGGTTTAGGTTTTGCCAATGTTATATTCAATTTGTTTTAGATTTGACCAAAGCCTAATCATTAATTGTGAATTAGCTCACATTGAAGGTAAAATATTGATAATACAGAACCTAAGTTTTTTAAACATCATCAGAAGCTGGCTGCATCGATACAGTAAGCTAAAAGCGTAAGTGTTCGGCATATGGCATTATAGTCACGTTTTCTCTGGTCATTACTGCTGATAAGAAGTCAACGTTTAAAACCTGAGAACCTTTGTGCTTTCTTATTTAATAGTGCTGATTTTTTAACCCAGCATTGTTTGTTTGAAATGTTTTGCTCTGTGGGATGGCGTGTAATCTAACAGCTGGTGCAGCATACTCCATGGAAGTGTGGGGGGGGGAAAAGTTCCTTTAGACCTCAACACTATAGGATTAAAGAAAAGGTGAGTGAGCATTAGGTACAGTATATGGAAATATCTGAGGACTATATCAACATAGAAATGTAAGAAAAACAGCCAAAGCTTTGTGAACTATATGAGAAGTGAGTTGTGATGCAGAAAAAGACGATGATACCTGTACATGCTTAAAATGAACATGTATAATATTTAAAGACACAGGAAGACCAAAAGCACAAAAAAGAAACATATAAATTACAAAAACAAATTCATACTGTACACCAAGATCATGAACGACCTGCTGGATAATAAATCATAAAAATCATAGACATTAGCATAATTGATGATATCGGAGTGAAATGCACAATAGGACAATTACAGACATGACTAAACTTTTTTGTCAAGTCCTTTCTCATAATCGTCTTTAATCCTGTTTCCTCCAGACTCATCCACACACCCATCCACACACACACTCATATGCACAGCATCCTCTCACAGAAACACCTGAGCACTCACCTGTAGGGCAATTGCTGTGTTGTTCTGGGAAGGGTGCGCAGCCACCAGGCCTTCCTCTTTACGTTTCTTGAATTTCCTAAAGTAGTCCTGTATCAGGAAGGTGGCATAGAACTTCCCCACGGTTACCTCATCATCTGAGTGAACAGACCACACAAATGCTTCCTGTGTCAGCAGGTCACTACACACAGCACCCTGGGTGTGAAGAGGAGAGGCCTTCCTCCCCCCACATCCATTTGAAATTGGGTGTTTTTAAAACTGAATGTCAGTACAGTATTTAACTCTTTCTTTAAGCTGTTTAATTTTGAGCTAATAATCAATCAGCCACTAAAAGCCTTCTTAAAACTCTTAGCGATCAGCAGCTTGTCATAGAGTTGCAAGCTCCTTATGTACTGGACAAAGCTATATGGCATATTCCACTTTAAATAGAATATTACTGAATGCAATAAAACATATCTGTTTTACAAGCATTTCAAACCTCTTTTAGATTATAGTTTAGTAATTACAAGTATTTACACACCTCCCAATAAGGTTACACTGTGCATTCTCTCATAGCATAGGGATCATGTTTGATAATGACATATTAAAAGTACTAGTCCAGCATGTTCGAAGAGGTCAAAGAGATCATTTGTTAGTTTCACTTTGACAAACTTTTGATACTAAATTTAGTGTCTGAATTGTACCAATCATAAGATACTATTTTAAAGATTCAAAGATAAATTGCGCCTGTGTATAGGGCTCAAATGCGCTTTTTAATTTTGGTAATGTAGATTCTTCTACCAAAGATAAAAAAAAAGCAAATCTTTTCACTTTATTCAAGGGGAAATTTACTCTGACATTGCAAAAAAATAGTGCTTATGCAACCCCTTAGCTTTGTTGAAAGATAAAAAAATATAAACAACTTTGGAATGCAGTATGGAAAAAAAAGACTCCAGACTTAAAAATCAAAAGGTAAGAAATGCCTTCTGTATCAACTGACAAATCCTACCAATCATTTCTGACTTTCAGTTAGAATATTGTTACTGACTAAAAATCCTCATACCCCAACTTTCTCAGCATAACAATAACTACTGTCCAAGTACCAAAAGCAGTTTTTTAAACCACCATTTGAGACTCATGGTAAAAATGTTATCCTAATGTCAATTAACAATTAAATATTTTTGTGTTTAACTCTTTCTCATGCCTGCTTCACAAATATCAGTAAGGTCGGTGCCCTGGATGAATTCTAAAGCTAGAGGTGGAGGTCATTATGTCACTTTAGTAATTTAAAATTTTTTATATAAATATGTAGTTTTAATGTTTCCAGTTTTTAAGATATTTATTAAATACTCACTTAATCTATTTAAATGACTTGTTTTTTTCATTAGAAGGCAACAAAATGTTTAATCCAAATGCAGATAAATGTTCTACTTTGCCCCATGCAAACATGCAGCTCTATTTGAACATCATACATGTCAGCCTATCTGTGTAACCATCTGTTTTTTTTATGATGTATACCTACTAATAAACAGTACTGATATTGCATACTATGCTAAAAGCTGTGCACAGATGTTGTCTGGCATTATTCTATAATTTCTTTGCAGGAGTAAAGTGTGTGTGTGAGGATGAGCAGAAGAATCATTCTGAAGCAGGGGTCTGAGTCACTTTGAACAAGCACGTCGGGGACAGAGATTGGACAGAGAGGCAACACTAGTTCCATGCCACCACCCTAAAACAGAACTGCTTCAGAATATTCTGAAGTGCTTCAGAGTTTTTGGTTACAGAGATATGTGAGAGGAAAATAAAGCTGTAAAAGCTCAAGCAGTAAGTAAAGACAAGAAATTCAAACAACAGAGGGAGTCAGAGAGGAAGAGACAGCAGAGAGAGGACAGTGATTATTAGTGAGAGAGAGAGAAAGAGAAAACATGCACTTGCACTGTGGTCTATAAGGCCATGCAAGCCCGAAGCCCAGCAGGTATTCAGTGGTCTCCATCAGCATCCAGGGCAGGAGGAGTGTAGACAAGGTACACATATAAAAGACAACTGCTGAGAGGACAATCAGGAGATCTTGAGCAGCACAGATATAAATTGGTTTGTTTTCAACTAGTTTTAACGAAAGAACAGTTAGGATATATGTTATTGAAAATATGTGAAAAGCATGGCTACACTTTGTGTTCATGTTTGGTATTTCTCTAAATGATATTTGGATGTATGTCTGTTTATTGACAGGGAAGAGTCAGTTCCACTAACCACCAGCAGGAGGCACCACTTGATCCAGCAGCTTCATGCTGGTTCTCTTCCAGATTTTCTTGATGACAGCTCGCAGCTCTTCATTGGCCTGCTCCAGGTTACCTGGATCACAGAGCAACACAGTCCCCTGAGAAACCAGCAACCCAGCAAAAATAATAACAGCTAAAGAATTAAACACAGTATGAACAGCACAGCATTTATTGAACCTTTTTTCTTTTTTTTCTTGACACAACTACAAACTTTATTACTGTGGTAGACCAACACAAAGTAGTGGGAGAAGAGTTGTGGACAAACCTTTTTTTTTCATATAAAATCTAAAATCTGTGGCATCTACATTCAGCCAACCAAGAACATGTTTGTTAAAGTCTCTTTACTTCATTTATAGTCATTGGAACTATAAAAAAAAATAGATTTTCTCATATATTTCTTTGCAAATAGCTGAATAAACTTATTTATCTGTATCTGCAGATTCTCAATTGGACTAAGTAAAGTATTCATCCTTTCTCCTCCCCTCTATAGCTATGCACTGGGTAGTACTGCTCTGAAATTAAACTAATGAGACTACATAGACCTGCAAGTAGTTTGTAATAGTAATGTTACAAGGAGAAAGAGGTATAAAAGGATCAATGTTCAGTATATACCTTCAGTTTTTATTTTCAGAGCTGTGCGCACCAGGGCAAACAATGTAGCATTAAACATGACTGTCCCATCACTGTTGAGTGGCATGTTCATGGCTACCAGCCTCTAAAAAGGTAAAGCAGTTACATATTTTTAACATAATAGACAAATAATTTCTGCTTTGTAGTGACTTACAAAGAAAAGATTATTTTTGAATAGAGAAAAAAGGACACCTTGCAGGCCACTCTATGAGGACACAGTTTACCAAAACCAAGAGGGGGCTGGATACGACGAAGCAGAGTCACCACATCTAGATGTTTAATTCTTCCTCTACATAAAAAAAAGAATATTTTCAATAAGTTAAAAATATACTGTAAAGCTACAACATAACAGAATCTAACAACCAGCTGCTATCAAACAAGAAAATTGATTTTTTTTTTAGGAAAAAAGTACATACTTTGCTTCAGGATCGTACTCTGACCATATCCTTTTAAATTCATCAAGGTGGTGAGGACCAAGAATAGACCAATCACGTGTCAGATAGTCAAAGTTGTCCATAATGACAGCCACAAATAAATTGATGATCTGCAGAAATTGGAAAAAAATAGATAGTTCACCATGTCACAAATCCTAAAAAAAATACTACATAACCTGAGACATTTGATTGTTAGAGTTTATGGTTAGAAATATATCCAAACAATCCCAAAACTGTGAATATACACTCCCAGGTTAAGATCTGGCCAGATTTTTAGTACCGGTAAATGAAAAAGTTTAAAGTTTGTCTTAGTCACGTTTTTGTGACTGTTAAAGGCCTAGTCCCTTAAAGAAACCAGGTAACACCAGGACAAAAAATAGGACAGAATGAGCTGCGTTCCATCCACCTCACAACCTATAAGGACTTTTAAACAGCAAACCGCAAAGGATCCACAAAGGAGTTGTGTCAAACATATTGTCATTTAAGTTAGTTAGTTTTTCCATCATGTCTGTATGTAACTATATACATCATTGGCTCTGCTTTATGCCTGTATACAGTATTTCTGTTTGGAAATTAGGATTCATGTTAAGCAGCAACCTCAATTTTTTCATTAGCATCAAGTGGAGTCTTCAAGACAATCAAAGAGGTGTCCTATTATCACCGCCTTTTCAGTTTGTTATTTGGATATTTATTTATCAATTAACCATATCTGTTAGTTTAGTTCAAATGAGTAAATGGTCCTTTGAGACAAAAGAGTTTTCCACTTCGAAAGCATGATTTCGACTTGAATATCCACAGTTTTGGTAACATTTCACAACCTAATTCTAAGCCTGAATACTGCCTGACTTGAAGGACCAGGGACTCTTTTAGATAGAACTTCACTAAACACACTAAGTAAGCTAAAATGTAAAAGCAACATATGCTCTGGTTTAAACCAAAACAACATATGATATACAAAGTCAATGACATCAGTCTGAAAACAATATGTCAAAATTATGTCTAAATCAAAACAAAATGGAACAGGGGTAAAATATCTCAAGAGTCTACCAAAAAATACTCTAATAATAACACCAATACTCAGAACTATTGTCTTATAACTATTTTCTCACAATTTCTTAGTGCATTAACAACTTTTTGTATAACAGCAATATCGAAACTGGAAGTAGTTCACTCCTACAGCAACCTTACTGCCAGATTTAAAGGTCCCATATTATCATATTATTTACATCTACCATATCTACCATTTCATCTACATTTGAAAATGAAAAATATTCAAAATTAGGCCCCCTGGTCATTTGTGCGAGAACATCTCTATCAGATAAGGCAGAGAGCATGTACCAATGATGTCCTTATTCAGCCCTCCACTGAATGAGCCATTTTCGCTTTTGATGCCCCATCCACCAAAAGGCCGCACCCCCACAAACAGCAACCATGACATCCGGTCAGAGTTCATTAAGATAGAGGCTAGGATCATGAAATAATACAATAAATGAAGGCTGTAGCTTGAGCAATGGGCTGCTACAGACCGCTCTGGACAGTTTATTTCCTCCCCTTATGACTTCATAAAGGGAATGTTTTTCAAACAGAGCATTTGGAACACTGATAAGCTTAAAGGTGGAGAAAGGAAATGATAAACGTGAAAGGGTCTTTTTCATTTCTGAATCTCATGCACAGGCTTCAGGACATATAACTGTTACAAATTTATAATGTCATTTTTTCACAATACAGAACCTTTACTAGTTATTCTGATGCATTCATACTCATAAGCAGAAATGTCTCATTTTCAAAATAAAATTTAATTGAAATTTATTATTTATTATTGAAATTTATCCTTAATACAGTCTGTATTAAGGATTGTATTATTTAATAGAGCTGGCTTGTGTTTATAACGTGACAACTTGGGACTGAGCTCTGCTTACACTGGAACCATTAGGGCTCTTTAAAGGTGGACAATGAGTTAACTGAAAATGTTCAGGCCAACTTTCTGCTATTTCATGCAGAAAAGATACAGAACTTTTTCTCTCAAGAACTTGGTGACTGCTGTGTGTTTGTGTGTATTCTAGTTATTGTGCCTACAAGTTTTAAATAAAAGTTTGAACAAAATGAAATATCTAAGTTAAATATAATACAAATACGGCACAAACAGTTTGAAAAACTATACTTACCAAGAAAGCACAAAGCATGTAGAAGGTAATGAAATAAACTATAGCAAATCCACTGCCACAAGTCATCTCCTCCCCAGGGTTGTAGTCAGACTCAGGGTCACACAGTTTCCCTGGCATACAGGCCAACATAATATCCTGCCACGCCTCACCTGTGGCACACCTGGAGGGCAGAAAGACAAAGCAGATGCACATCAGTCACCCTAAAGGTTTAAGCAGAGTGACTTTCATAAAGGTTGCGGATAACACACCTAAAAAGGAGAAGCACAGCCTGGGGGAAGGTCTGGAAGTTGTTGTTTCTGTTAATTTGCGTGCCATCAACCATAGCAATCTTTCCAAAAACCTAAAAGTACAAAATGTCATTGTCAGTTTAAAAAGAACACTCAATTTAAATCATATAAGGCTATGGTGTTTAAAAAAACAGTTTATACATGTAAAGGAGAAAAACATGAAAACAAATAAAGGTCCCCTTTCATTTACACACACACATAGTTTTTGTTGGTCTGTCAGATGAAATTTGAACAAAACTTTTTTTGGATGAACCAACATCAATAATTCTGCAAGGTATCATACCAACCTGCATGCCGATGACGGCATAGATGAAAAACAACATGGCTATCAAAAGAGCAACATACGGCAAGGCCTGAAAACAGGAAAGAAGTGAAACAGGAATGACAGTCAGCTTTTTTTAACTTTTTGCCAGCAATAATTTAATATAACACCTCAGATCACCTGGAAGGACTTAATGAAGGTCCAAAGCAATGTTCGAATACCCTCTCCTCTGCTGAGCAGTTTGACCAACCGCATGACTCGAAACAGACGGAAAAAGGTGATGGAGATACGAGCACTATCCTCCGTGTTCTGTAGAAAAGAGTTTTTAAAAGCAAGACATTAGCAATGCATCAAGGTGACACAAGAGTTCCTGACTGTGCTTTGGTGGATGAGCTCAGACCTCCATATCAGTTACATATGAGCTAGCAAAGCAGCACCACACTTTTATATTAATTTGCAAATGACGGAATAAGAGCATTTGTCAGATAGACAGTTTCTGACAGTGTAATGAATTTTGGATGCAGTGTAGCTAGAGCCGATATGTCTCTGCAGGTCTGTCTTCAAAGCACGGTCAGTTTCTCTGTTCCTGTACAGACCTAAAAAGGGAAGTAAGCCAGGAGGCAAGCATGCTGGAAAAAAACCTTGCCATACTTGATGGGACGCATCTATTCAAGCATGGAACCCTCAGTCCAGAGTCACTGCATGCGGAGTCACAGTGGGACCAACCCTAACGGGTCAACCGGGAGGTTTACAGGTCATAGCTGGGTGACCTGATCCCAGAGGCTTATCCATGGGATGCTACCTGCCGCCAGACGGAGGCAGAGACCATGGAGCCTTGTCAAAGTACAAACATGAAGAGCAGCTCAAGGCCACTCCCACTAGACAAGAGACATGTGTCACATTTGAGTGACACACCTTTCTTCGAAATAACTCCAAACATTTAGGAATAATAAAAAGCAAATGTTCTGAGGAGATATGTAGATGAACAAAGAAAGCATATTTGAGAAAAGTAAAGATAATGAAAATGAGAAGATAACTAAAGCTTGAATAAGCAACCAATGAAAGAGGATGATGAAGAGAAGGACGGAGTAACAACAGAAATGCAAATCGAAAAATGGCATGGCCCTAACATGGGGGAAAGCATCTTACCCCCATCTCATCCACCTGAGGAGTCTCCGTTGGCTTTAAAATCAAAGACCCGTATTAATGACTTAGACAGAGCCAGAAGGTCTCACAAATATATGGTTATTGTCACAAAACTTCAGCAAATGTCAGTTAGAAGACGGAGACAGCACAAAGTAAGTACTCTCCTTATATGACAGGACAAACAAGTCTTATATTTTCTCTTGGACAAGGACAGACGTGTATTTCTCTAAAAAAAACTTTTACTGGCAGGCATTACCTTTATAACAAATTATGGAGATACTTAAAACTCCACAAAATAAGATGTCAGCTTAACATAAACACATCTAGTGACAAACAACAATAAAAGACTCATCAACATGTAAGACTGGCACACAACTTTATCACCCCCCCCAGTGTAGCAGTTACTGCTCATGGTACTTCATGGATTCAATGGTGAAATGTCTTTGGTGAGATTTTAAAAGAATGTTAATGGAAAGTGCAATAACTTACATAAATGTTGTGAAATGATGATGTAATAAAAAACCCGGATTTGTTCACTTTGCATTCCTTCATAAACCCTGAACATTTCAAATCCTGACAAATGGACTCAAAATATCTTACTAGACACAAAACCATGTAATATGAGCATAGCGCAATAGTAAAGGCCCAATAAACAGCTGAACATAAAAGAATCTGTTTAGAAACAAACACAAATCTAGTAATAAATTTGATAATATATATATAAAACACTTTGTGGAAAGTTTTGAAATGCATATTGATATTGAGGTTTCCAAAAAGCCAAACTTTCCTAAAATAATTAGAAAACACTGCTTCTTGAGAGTGTTTTGTGTATTGACTAATCTAATCAGCACGCTGGACATGCTGATTTACATTATATGCTTACATTATATGACAACAATGTAACATTATCTTAAGTTATAACGCTATATTGTCACTACAGGTTATGAAAATCCAAATTACAGCACTGCAAATGCGTATCTGTAAAATCTTTTGAATAAATTTCAAGGAGTCAGACTCCCATGTTCTGTAAGGTTGAATATCCAGCCAAGGGAGAGAAAGATGAGCTCATAATTATGACCTGGAGATGTACAGCATTTACCTTAGATTCTTCTTACTACTTTTATTCTGAAGTAATACTAAAATAAAACATATAATATCATCACATTACAGTATTTTAATGGTACACAGGGGTGTAGCCATTGTTATTTTCCTACAAGATGGTGATTTGAACTTCAGAATTTGCCTTGAGTTGTACTTCAGAAAAAGGAAAATTAACCTTGCCTTTTTTATTGCTGTATAATGTTACTATTTAATTTCAATTACTTAAAAATTACCAAAGAGCAAGACTTTTAGCAAACTTTGATAAGTATTGATCAATGCCACTTCAATCATTTCTAGACATTTTTTAGCATTTTGAAACCCAATCTGGGATGCTGTCTATGGTTCTGGATTTTTGCACAGCACTGCATATCCCTTTACACAACAAAATTCGATATTCACAGTTTTTAACACAGATTTGCACCCAAATATGCATCAGTATATGATGCAGATTGCATTATGAGATAGCAGACACTATTCAAGGTTGACAACACTACAGTAATCCCTCTGTAGTAGTGTGGATGAAATGAAATCTTAAAAAAAAGAAACTTTTGTTAAATACTAAAAAAGATGAATATACTGCTTAGCAATAAAAACAAACAAAAAAACAACAACAAAATACTCCAGACAGATATGGCTTTATTCAAATCCCCCAGCATAACAAACCATCAGCATGACTTGCAGAATTAAGCAGAGATGATTTGAACATAAAATCAACTAAGAATAAGCTTGAGGAGGTTCTTTAGGTAATCCTGGCCACAGCATTAATGGAGCATGCAATTTAGCATCACCAAATTGCTGAGGTTGCACTGCATCCACACAAATGAAACATTCGAATGATTTAGAGCCAGTGGTGACTCAGAGCAAAGCAGCAAACCATGCATACCAGTAGTGCCCTGTAATTAAATTGCCACAGCAGGGCGCTCTCACAGTCTGGTGCAGAGATACAAATAAGCAACACAGGGAGGAGAGAAAAAAAGAAAGGACCAAGAGGAGGCCAGCAACCGAGAAAACACTGGGAGAGACAATTCAGGTGCATCTCATTAAAGAAGAAGATAATCAAAAAGGTATTTGTTTCATTAAATCCGTTCAAAAAGTGAGACTAGTATATTAAAAGGATTCATTACACTCACATTTATATTCTCTCTTTCTCTCAGTTTTGATGAGTATGGCTGATGGCTAATGAAAAACTCAAATGCAGTTTCTAAGACCTTTAATGCACTGCTCCAGTTTTTTTGTAATCCAATCTATTACCGATACCTGGAAAAAGTGTATCTGCTGATACTGAAAAAAGGTATACCTTGCCACCTGAGGACAGGTATTATGCTTCATATAAACATTCTTAATGAAGGGTAACAAATTAACACAAATATATAAGTTAAATGGAGTGCCACAGTTAGCCCATGTCTAACATTTGCATATAGGGTGCCTCAGCCTAGAATCTATCAACTTCCAATGCCTTGTTAATCTTCTTCTCTGAAGAATTCTTACTTCACACCACTAAGGTCTCAGTTACCCCTGCTGTTTGTGCACCTTTTTTCTTCAACTGAACTCTTTTCCTTCCACTTAACTTTACATTAATATATCTTGATGCAATACTCAGAGTTAGACAAGCTTTATTGTCATTTTGTATACACAGAGTGTAATTTTGTTACATACAGCTTTTCTGACACTTTGAATAGGCAGCTAATTTAGAAAATCCGTTTTTGGATTAACCTCCTTGGAAAAGGTGTGAAGGACTATCTGCTTAACAACTTTCAAGAAAATACCTGAGTGTTAAGTTTTTCTTTTTTTTTTCAGGTAAAACATTTTCTTAAAAAAACTGCTTTAGCTCAACTTTAAAAAACAAAAAATAGTTGATTTTGAGTCAATTGTACTCCTTTCAGAGAGGGACCATATAAAATAGCATTTCCTGCATTAACAATTTGACCATTTCTATAACGTTGAGCCAACGAATCTTTAGGCATGGGGTTCCTCCTTTAAACTGATTTATAGAAACAAATGCACTTTTTTTGAGGAATTATAGAATTTATTAAAATGCACCTGTAAATAAAAGAGAAGATTGAAAGAGGAGACAGAGACAGTAACTGTTAGATTTCATGCACCTGACTGGAGTCTACACACCTGCGCAACACATGTGCTCCATTCAGAGCTTTAAGAGCTCACTAAAGAGAGACAGAACAAAACACAGTGACAGTCACTCAAAGATACACAAACACAAGATCATCAAAGAACCTCGATCTCAGCTGGCGTCTACTTCCATTAATTTGAAAAGGCAAAAAAGATATTCATACAGAGCCAATTGTTATTTTTCAATCTCATCTAATAATCGTGAAACTTTGCAGGTCAAAATATGCTAAGACCCTTCATTTAAATTGACTTTAAATTTCAGTTTAACATTTTTCTTGACTAAATCCATTACCAAGAATATAAGCTTTAAGTTTCCGACCAAACTTGAAACTTGAAATATTTATTTTTAGTATATTCCTTAATTTTGTATAGTTATCATAACCTTTAACTCCAGGGCCATTCTGTCTGGAGGGAAAAAAAAACAGAACACTAAAGGGTACAACAAGCAAAACAAAAGGAACAAGCTTAACATGAGTCTATGGAAAACACTGACCGGAAGGGTAGGGACTGAGTGACCGATTGTCATCTGTGAGAGGCGGATATGGAAAGGATTACTGACTATGAGGTGATTGTCTGACCAACCAACATGCAATTAGAACATGAAAATTATAAAAGTTTGCTTAACTCATGCCTGGAGAGAAACCAAAAATATGCAAAGTGTAGCAAACGCACAACATATCAGCTGCCATTGTTAAATGGAGCATTCAGTTAAAGACACACATGCAGATTAAACAGAAATCACATTATTAGAAATGAATTTAGAAATAAAGGCCTTTGTATAATCAATCACACTTTGCCGACATTTACACCTCCTCACCGCTACACACATTAACAACTGGAATAAACACTGCAAACATGTTAAACACACATGCATAACACAGAGAATTCTAAAAACTCACAATGATTCATTGTTTTAAATAAAGTTAGTGCTTGTTGACACAGTCATGCAACACATTTAAAAACATCGTTACTCCAGAAAAACAGCACTGCAGCTCATAGGATATGAGACCACCCAGGGATGGAAACAAAGGGTTGAAGTAAATGAAGTTGGAAGGGAATGCTTGATACAGTTAAATTGGAGGGATTTTGTCAAATAGTTATCAGCATTCAGCATCTTGCCAGCAATTAACAGCTTCCTCAATGACTTTAGCAGAAGAATCAGACATTTTTTTCTGGTGAGACAAGTTAGATAACCTTCTGACATAACCACGATGAAGCATAATAACCTTTTTTCTAGCTTTTTAACTTAACATATTTTAATAGTTTGACACTGTTCTTTCTATAAAGATAGAAACTTTCCACTTTTGTGCTAAATGTGCTATTTACCATGGGGTTTACAGCTGCTGGGATATATTTTCTCTCAGAATCAAGGATCATTTGACCATCTGGGGATAGACTGAAGTGATCAAGTGCTGTTTTAGCTTAATTCATTAAAATATTAGCAAAGGTTGCCTTCTGTTCAAACATTTACCATCCTGAGGCGAGTATTTTTCACCAGTGCAGATAGAGCTCCTGCATAGCGTAGTATGAGATTAACTAATGTTCCAATCAAGTCACTACTGAGATAGGTGAATAGTATGGTATCACCTTTGTTGCAGTGATGCATACAAATTCAGTTCTATGAGGAGAAAGTCATATTGTGGTAATATTTGTGAGATGTCATGAGTGCAGTAGAAATAAGTCAGCAAAGCACAAGCCTAGAAAAAAGCAAAACCCATATATTTTTAAGACAGAAATGATTTTTGCTAGGTTGTTAGGTTGCAAAACGTGCAAATATAAGGTAAACACTCACAGTTTTAAATGATAGTTTTAGAGGTTTTAAAACAGTGCATTTTGTTTAAAACCGGCTCGTTTTCATCTTGAACACAGCTTATTTATATAGCTGCTGGCTCAGGCCTTTGTTATTGTATATTTGCCAATCAAAGTTGTGCCCTAAGTAAGCACCACTACTTATGTGGATAAGCTACCACCTTCTGAAATGTGAGCATCTGTTGTATATTTTTTGTGTTTGTTGTTAAATTTATGCCTTGAATCTCCCCAAAAAAAAAAATAGTGTGAAGGAAGTAGGTCATGTTAATTAATAAAAACAGCAGTGAAATTCTGCATTTAGGAGACAAATTGCACATAAAAGAGGGTGTAGATTTTCAGTTGCAGTCTGTTGGTAGAAATCAATCCCCATGTAATGAAAATTCAGTGTGAATCCCTGTATAATTCCTTCACAAACAATAAAAAAATGAGAAACGAATTTCTTTTCACAAAATTATCTTTTTTTTGCTTTCTATTTTCTTTTTATACATTTATAACAGCCTAAATAAACACTTTTCAGATTATCATAATTGAGCATCTGTGTGTAGGATTTTGAGGAAATAGATCAATACAATAAGACAATTTTAACATATCTAAATGTGGAACAAGTGCAGTTATATAAATACTTTGTTAATGCACTGTAATCACATAATGCAATCATTACTTTATTAAAGTTATTAAGCTTTTTTTTTTTTTTTTTTACCAGGAGCCTTTATTTGGGAGTCAGGTGGCAGGAAGTTGGATTGAGAGAGGGGTAAATGGACTGGAATTATAACCTGTGATTGCAGAGTCAAGGACTAAGGAGTGATTGATTAACGGATGGATTGTGTGCTTAGGTAGCTGCATCGACATGCACTCAGTTAGTTAAATGGTTAAAAGATGATAGGGGGTTTCATCTTCGTTACCAACAACATTTTGGAAGGCTATATTTTTTATAGTAAAACAAAACTAACCCTGTTTTTTCTAACCTTGGACAATTCAGACAGCTGTGGATTACAGGTAAGATACAGACTGCTCATAACCATTCCACTTTATCTGACCCTAAAATGGTTTTAGAATAGTTACACTTCATAAATAGTGAGAGCTTTTATGATCATACATATTTCACTGAAATTATTTATCAGATGATTCTAATCCACTGGACCAGTTCAGTCCTAAACTGCTTTATCGACTTCAATCTACTCTAATGTATATAAGAGTAATTTTTTTTCTAAGAAATTCATTCAGATGCTTAATATTAATTTCAAAGGTCAAAAAAGTACTTAGCGTACTGCTAAAAAAAACCTTATCAGCTTTATATCACCCTAATCAATCTGTATTTAGTATTAAGCCAACTGTAAAGGGGATTAAAGGATAAAGTTGTCATCAACAACCAAGTACACACAAGCAACATTCTTGTTTAATTCCATACTTGCCTCTACAAGTTTCTATGGGAAAAATGAATAGAAAATAAGAATTAGATTACCACATTATAAACTATCTAATCAAATGGAACACAGGCATCAGATCACAGGTAAATCTGAAAGACTCCTGTGACCCTCCAGGGTAAAGAATCGGCATGTTATTGTAAATACTGTTATGATACACATCCACAATAAAAGAAATGTAAAGTTAACCACACTCGTCAAAGGTTGATTTATTTATTATGGTAGCATTAAATTAAATACACTGCCTTGCACAAGTATTAAAAACACTTCAGCTTTTGCAGAACCTATTTTTCTAGAACCACAAACTTGGATGCATTTTAATAAGGATTTTATGTGATAGACAAACACTAAACAGATTATAATTAAAGTGAACCTTTCTTGTAAAAAATGTGTATTGTTTAAACTCAAATGTAGCTTTGGTTGTATGTTTAGTTCTGATACTGTACAGCAGCATTTAGCTGCATTCATCTTCCTTTTAACTTTAACCAGCTTTGCTTTTCGTGTTAAAGAAAAGTATAACCATTTAATGGTAGACGGTATGTTTAGAATGATGTGCAGTTTTAGTTTTTAAAGAAACCGTGTATTTGATATGTAGATCAGAAAGTTCAAATTTGTTCTCATCTGATTGAAGCACCATCTTTTACACATTTGGTGCATCCCATTCATGTTTGGTTTGCTGACTGCAAACTGAATTGAGTTTATTACAAATTAGGTGAAAGCTTAAAGTAATTGGTGGAGGTAAAATTTAATGCAGGCCTTTTAGAGTAAAGTGGGCTAAATTTAAAGGCACGGCACCCTTTTTTACATAGATTTACTTGTAAAGAATTTGAAAGCAATTATTTACATTTGTATTCCACTTTAAAAGCACTGCTTTGTATTGGTGTAAAACACCTGATTAAAACAAAATATGTGGAATAATGTGGTTTAAATGTTACAAAATTTAAGGGGATTTAATACTTTTGCAAGGCATTTTCAAGGTTTTTTTGTGTGCAAAAGTCAAACTGAAGCCTACAAAAAGCCAATGGCAACTGATAATACAAAAAAGACATTTTTAATCATCTACACAATATGACTTCTATTGATTCCTTATTTCTAATTTCACAATAGAAGGATATGTCAAGCTTTTTTAAAGTCAGAGATTTACAGTGGCCAACTGGCTTTCTGTGAGGGTGCAGTTTAACTTATGAGTCAAAGGAAAGTAATACTTACATTAACTTCAGTGATAGCAATGTCGACGACGCTACCAACAACAATTAAGGCATCAAATGTGTTCCAAGCATCAGCAAAATAGTGCTGTTGAAGGTAACATGAAGGGGTAAAAAGGGCAATGAAAGACAGCAAACAGGAGAAGGTGGAAGCAATATGAGAACAGACATTGTGGAGGAGTTTAAAATAAAGATGAAAAAAAAAAAAGTTTCAATGGCAGGATCAGGGGAGGAGAAACAGAAACAGAGAAAAAGTGTTAGGAAGGATCAGACTGGAAACAAAATGAGTTAGTTGTGAGAAAACCTGCCAGAAACAGAGGTGAAAAAGAGGAGAAACAGCTCTTAAAGCGACGATGTAAACAGTAGCTGAACTTACTTACATCAATCTCACTGAGAACAATGTCTACTATGCTGCCAATGACTACCAGGGCATCGAATACATTCCAGGCGTCCCCAAAATATCCCTGAATGATGTGTGGGTCAATTGTAAAGTCAGCAAAAACAACAACAAAAAATGTTTTTAGGCATGCACAGAAATTAAATTCTACTTATCAAATAATATCTCTAATTTAAAAACACACAGGAAGTCCCCTGCTGGCATCCTCAGCTGAAGGGCCAATAATTATATTGCATTGAATCACAGGCTGCTATTGAGCTTCAAGGCAAATCAACCCTTAAATTCACAATAACACTAAAATCAACAAAACTCCTGATTAAGAGGGGAAAAAAGCTCAGCACTGCAAAACACTCATTTTCCTTACTAGCATCCTGTCTTTCTTTGCAACACATAACTGTAGGTCAAGAAATGGAAACAGAAAAACAAAACAGAATTGAACAACTCACTGACATCTGGGTTCATTTCAGGTATGATATGCAAAATACATATTTAGCATAAAGTATCAAGTTGAGTAATGTAACATTTTAATGATAAAAAGTCATTGTAAGCCCATTGCTGTCACCCTTTAGTAATTTACAGACAAAATAACTCAGCAACATCAAACAAGCAGGTGTGCTGTAATCATTGGCTCTGACTTTACATACACACTATCTGTTAATTAAAGTGTATCAGCCATAGATCAACTATGAGCCAGAATTTAATTTTTCAGTAAAAACTCTGGTCTCTGACAGTGAGGTACAGCAAAGGTTCATCATTTTTTTTTATCTTTGAGACAATCTCAGTGAAAGGTGCTGCAGTAAGCACTGCTGACTCATTTATCTTCTGCTGACTAAGCACAGTAGTACCAATGGGATGTCTAATAGCTGAGAGTTAAAGACTTTGTACTTTCATAGTTCCTTCTAATAGCACAGAAACTGTTAGCTAAATTGATAGAGTTCAACAATCATTCATACCAATTTTAGCTTACATTTCAATTTTACCAATATGCTTCTTCAAAATTCTGATTTTCAATGAATATTGGGTTTGATTGCTATATTTCAGTCCATATTTTTAGGAAATCATTTTGGCTTATCTACATCTTGTCTGTAATCTGTGTTCTGTTTATATTGTTCTGTTTAATGTCCATTGCCCTTGCATCAGGATTGCAGATGAACACTAGCTCTTCTGCTACAGTAGTTCTGGCATATTTACATCAATGGTTAAAGCCAATATGATCATTAATGTGAATTGTCCTAATCTATATAATTAAAAGCAATGAAGTGTTTCATATAGAACTAGACAATGGAATTGGACTTTCTATAAAGTTGGTTGGTTTAGCTTCATGACATGTATGACAAAGTCCTATTTTCTGAGCTGTTTTGTTTTCCCCCACAGTGAAGAAAATAAATAAATACATATTTTCACCTTCTTGCAAAACATGGCAGTTGAGTCACTTCACTTTAACAACAACAGAATCCAAACTTCGATTGTTTATAACATGAGTTAAACCAAATGTGTTTTTATGGTGTCAAAGATTTTAATTTTCCAAAATTCCCCCCCAAAATTTAGAAACTTCCAAGATGGTCACAACTTAAAAATCTGTCCTAGTTCTGAGTTTCTGTGTCTGTTTTGTTTATCTTTACTCACCCTTGGTTTAAATGCTATGAGCTTGAGAACCATTTCCACAGTGAATACAGTAGTGAAGACCATGTTGAGAATGTCCATTACATAATTAAAGAGAGCTGACTGGCCATAGTGCTGTGAACATATAAACAAAACACAAGAAAAAGAAAGAATAAGGAGAATTAAGGTCAATTTAAATTAATAACATGAGTATGACAAGAAAGTATGACAAGAAAATGTGACAGTCATAATTTGTTTACATAAGAGATGCATTCCTGGCAGTAAAGTATACAGAGGCTTCTGGTTCACTTCATTGAGAAAAATGTAAACAGACAGATTTTGGTGAGAGCCTTAATGATTTTAGGTATATTTTTTCATGATTTCTTACCTGGACAGCCAAGCAGAGTGTGTTGAGCATGATGAGCACAAACATGATGTACTCAAAGCCTGTGGAGTTCACCACATACCAGAACTTATATTGATAAGGGTTTTTGGGTATATATCTCCTTAGAGGACGGGCCTTTAGAGCATACTCCACGCACTGACGCTGCACAGAAACATAGAAAATACACCTTAATTACATAATGTTTTTGGACCAGTTTCAATTTTATTCCTATTTTCTTTTAAATCAATAAATGGCAAGTCAAAAGTAAAACGATCGAAGCCAACAAGCTTTCCATAGATTTATATTAATCCAAACAGTTTTTAAAATCTTTAAAAAATCCTTTTACTTTTTCCTTTAATATTTCCATTTAACCCTACCATGCACTTTTGTTCTTTTTCATGTGTTACAGTCATGTGTTTACCTGTATATTTTTATTTTGTTCGACTCCATTCTATTCTATTCTATTCTACTTTACTTGATTTGAGTCTCTTTAAGACCATTGATGTCTGCGATATGAACTTGATATAATTTAAAGCAATCTGCCATTAAATATAAATAGGAATGTTGACAGTATATATTATTTTACTTCATCCTTGTTCAATAACAATAACAGAGCATCCGTTACTGTTACATAAGAACATTGAAATCCATTGTCAATAGGATGTGTAATATCTCTCCCATGCTGCATTCTATTCTGAAATCATTTTCCTGAAATTATTTTTAGGATGGTGAATTATCAACTTGCCAAAGATTCCATAGGAAATGGCCTTTGCCAAATCAGGCATACTGACCAGGTTCTAACTAGGTTCATAAATGTGGTTTTACCTTTTTTTGATAAATAGAAAATAAGTCTTCACATCCAGAGTTTACTGAATAAGATTCAAACATTAACTTTTAAAGAAGTCCTCTTCTCATCAGCACAGAAAGCACTTCTCTATCTCTTTTTGTCACCTTTCTGCTGCTTTTTGTCAAATCTAGATTATGAAGCGATAAACATGTGACCAGCTGAAGGAATGATTATAAAGACATTACACTATTACAACTTTATGGTAATGTTTGAGACAGCATTTGATATAGCTATTTGCAACTGTAAGCATGATTGAGATGCTACTTTCCAGTGCATAACTTAGACAAAAGACAGAAGATAAAAATTAGTTGGTGAACTGCATCCAGAATACAAAAACTATTTATATGTTGTTTGTTTACCTGGTTCTTGTCAAGTTCACAGTTTTTATACTCCTTCTCTCCCTGTTCTTGAAATGTGACAATAACAAAACCCACAAAGATGTTCATCATGAAGAAAGCAATGATAATGATGTAGATGATGAAGAAGATTGAAATTTCCACACGGTAGTTGTAAATGGGTCCTAGATTCTCCCTGTTGGAGTCGATTGCTTTGTACAGTAACCTGAGGAGACACATGAAGTTTCGTCATTACTTTTACAAAAAACAAAACTTAAGGTTCAATTTACTTTAAGAACATTAAATGTTTAAGTCTTACGACGGCCAGCCTTCAAACGTAGACACAGTAAACAGGGCCATCATGGCCATGAGGACATTGTCAAAGTTGAAGTCACTGTTGTGCCAAACCCGCCTGTGTATTGTTGGCTGATTCACATCACCATCCTTATATAGAATGAATGTGCCCCTATTAAAAAAATTATATATCAATTACAAATACACTGCCAATCAAAACATAGTGAAAGATTCAGGTAATTTTGCTTTTTAGGATCAAGAAAACCCAACCTACTTGCATTCTTCAGGACTTGACTTGGCCTCATCTGTGCAACGGTAAAATTTTCCCTACGACATAGACAATAAAAGTTAAACTCCATTCTAACGGATGTTGATTTTTCAAAATTAATGTGCCTTTATATGTTGAAATGTTTAAAAGTTAGAGCTACTCACCTTAAATAGCTGGACACCTATACAAGCGAACATAAACTGAAGCAGAGTGGTGACGATCATGATGTTGCCAATAGTTCTAATTGCCACAAAGACACACTGAACAACATGCTGCAAAACAAGTGTACCAACGTATCAACAGACTGAATCAAAAGCTGCTGCAGTGTAAGTCTAGAGGCGGAAATATGTTTTCAGTTCCTACTTTAAGGCCCTTGGCTCTATTGATGGCTCTTAGGGGTCGAAGCACTCGAAGAACTCGAAGAATTTTTACCACGGAGATGGCTGAAGACCTGAAAAGATTACATCAATAACCATTTAGCATAAACATCAATATTTAATTAATTACAAAATTTAGCTATGTGTTTTTATTTTATTTTTTACAAAATATGACCTGCTGCAAATGTTAGCTGAATGGGACTTATTACTATTATGGTACTAACCACATGGAGGCAAAAGGACGTGGCTGTCATTCTACCTTTTAGGATGTTTCTGATATGAGATAACGCTTGTAACTTCAGTTATGTCTTCATTATATATTCGAAAGAAAACCTTAAAATAACCTATTTTTACCAAAGTAAAAGTAAAAGCATAATGCGGCTAAACTACTGTATCTCTAAAATTTGTATATTTTTAAATAGTTATTCAAGTAAATGTAACTGAGCACATGTACACCACATTTGATTAGAGTACAGCATTTTGACAAAGATCCTTGCAAGAGCAATAGAGGCTCCTGTGACATAAACTTGTAAATTTATTTTTTATAGGTTTCTGGGTTAAAGGTGGTGTATGATGCTCGAGTTTGTCCAGTAATAAATGACTCTTTCTACTGTTGTATCAGGGTAAGCATTTCATCAAATTAAACGAGTCAAATAAGTAGTATTAGGTTAGATGAGTGTGTACAGCGTTACAACACATATATTCATGTTTTTTATTTTATATATGTTTTAAAAGTATTATTTATATATAAAGTGAATTCAAAACAATCATATTTATATGTGTGTGTGTGTATGTGATTGATTGATTTGTGTCACTTGTCCACTTGTTATAAGAAGTATGTTTTATGTACAGACAGATAATATATATATATATATATATATATATATATATATATATATATATATATATATGATTAAACACATAAGATTAAAAGGACGATTGTATATTTATTTCTTTTTTTTTTTTACCAGGCTGAACTCGATTATTGTATTTACAGTTGTTTTCTCTGCAAAGAATTGTAAATTAGATTATACTTAAGGTTGTCCCCCATTTGCTAGGCGCCATGACAATCTGCCATCTTTAAAGTGTAGTTGCTGGCGAGGGATACAATAGTACTAACACATGGAATAACAACTTGTTTCTGAGTGAAGGAGATGCTAACCCAATGCCTATGCAGCAACAGTACAAGACACAGTTTCACTATCCACAACAGAGTGAAAAAGAGAACTTAAAAGACAATGAAACCAGAGACATCAAGGCAATCAGACATCAGGCAAGCCTTCTCCAGGTGGAAGGAGCTAAGGAAGGAGAAAGGTTTCCAAAGAGATGCTAAAGTTGCCATGTTTCCCCTAGAAAAGTAAGGGAACTGTAAAAAAGACATGACTTCAGTACAAAGCTGCCTCTGCCCATGTGGGTGCAGCCCGATCATGACATCACCATAACACGTCACTTCTGGCGATTAAGCACCTCTTTAGGAAGGCTGAATGGTCACAGATTTCTCATGGCTGTAAAACAAATTTCCATGACTTGCATAACAAAAAAAAAAAAAGAACAGTTGCTGCTATTTTATAGATTAGACGATAAAAGACCTTCTTCTCAACTTTGAGGCAAAAACATTGCCCCCTTCTTTACATCACTGCTCACTTATCAAAGAAAGTGGACTTTTGCTTACGGTGCAGGAACAGCGCAGGCAGGGTGGGTGATTTCTGTAGGGAGGATGTTAGCACTTTCCAAAATAGGACTTGATGGCTGTTCATTTTTTGTGGACAGGGACAGGCTCAGAGAGTGGAATTCATTAGGAATACTCAGACATGCAAGAATGAATTAGAATACTACTTTGTGCGTGATTTTAATGAAGATTAGCAATATGAAACAGTTAAAAGCTCAGAAATGTTACATTTGCATGATTTAGGTACTATTAATTAATGCAGAAATTGATGTGTAAGGTGATGAGAAATATCAATATAATTCCCAAAGTATTATCTTTCCAATTTAAAACACAATAAGTGTCAATAGTTTAACTGCCTCCTAAAGCTCCAACCTCCATTTTTGTTGAGTGGAAGTTCAACTATTTGGTTGACCAGGCAGTTAAAGAAATAAAAACTGTCAAAAGTGCTAATAGATAGCTATTACTAGCTAATTTTAGTGTATGTGTTGCACAGCCATTTGGATGCAGGATTTGGAAATCTTCATTGAAATCTGACATTTTTAGGCAGAATTCTGAATTTTAATTTGTGATATTTTTCTCACAAGGAAATCTGAGTCCTAAGGGACCTGTTCAGGGACAGACTTGTAAACAAGGCTTGGATTCCTTTTAAAACTGCTTTGATATCAAAGTTTTATTTTTGTACTCACTGAATGCCAAAGGAGACAAGCGAAACCCCCACCACCAAGAGATCCAGGAGGTTGAAGTAATTCCTGCAGAAAGCTCCTTTATGGAGAAAAGCTCCATATGTTGTCATCTGAGGAAAGGACACGACGTATTAAAGATGAAAAAAAAAAATACAGTTTTGTCTTACACAGAAATTACATTCTACACTTCAGATGACTCAAACAGCCAGTACAAACATTTTAAACAGGAATATTCTCAGCACTCAGAATCTTGCAGTCAACACTCACACACACACACACACTCTTTTAGATCACTCTGATTTGGGGTGGCGAGCTCATAGCAGTGAAACAGGAAAGCTAAAACTACCATCACCACCCCCACGGCCTTTACATACATGAATGTAGTAGCAAGTCATTTATTTCACAATGCACTATAGGAGGAGGCAATCAAACATGCACCTTGTTGCCATGAAGTCAAACCTTGCAAGAGCTCTATTTATAGTGATTGGAAATTGGAAATAACCTTACTGTCACATTCATGTTGGCCGTCCTCTTAAAGCACATTCTGATATGTTCTTTAAATGCTAAGAATAAACTGGAGGCAGCTCCCAGTTGAAACTTTGCAGTTCAGCAGGCAGAGAAGAAAACCAGCCAAAATAACTCTTCTTTAAATAATAAAAGTAAAATACATGTTTTCCAAGCACATAAATGTGAAGCCCTGCAGAGAGGCCAAGACAGATGACTGCTAACTAAGAGCACTGAGGAATATAAAGGCCAAAAAGATGTTAAGTTTTGATATTTTATTATTATTATTTTTTTTTTTGCCTTAACAGCTGCAGAGGTGACTTCACATTAATATGCAGTCAATCAGGGAAAGCAGACTGAACCATGCTCGGCATGAACATGGTCGGTGGTGCCCCCTCTTTTACGGTTATTCTGAAGAGCAGTCAGTATGATAAGCATGGAGCTAGGTAGCTTTGACTGGAGCTGGCTTTATGCTGGTACAACACAAACCCTGACCTCAACTTCAGCCAATGCCTTTGAAAATGACGAAACAGCCCATTAAATTTTGCATGGCAGACAGAGATTGCATTATGTTTTCCATCATTCCACCAAAATCAGTTAGCAATGACTGCCCCAATGATGTGACACCCAAGTGAGTGAATATAATGCTATGTTCATGTAATGTTTCCTTCCCCCGTTAGAAGCTCTTCGCTTTAACAAATCTTGCGTTAATCGTAGTGTGTGCAACCAAAATTTCCAAAATAGTATATGTTTGCTTTTTAAAAGAGGTGCCATGAAGAATAAAAGCAAATAAGAGAAAGGAAACAAACAAGCTAGGTTGCACTGAGTGGCAGGTGACACACAAGGAGAGAATGCAGCAAGGCTCTCGCTGTCACTTTATAGGGTTACCTTCAATACGATCTCAAATGTAAACATACTAGTGAAGACATAATCTGCATAGCCTAGGACCTGGAAAGGCAACAAGACGTTTGGAGTGTTATTGGAATGAGGTTAGTGACAGCACAGACAGGGGACACAGGGCATTTACCTTTAACACGATCTCAACAGTAAAGATAGCGGTGAAAGCATAGTCAAAGTAACCAAGTATCTGCAAAAAGCAATGTAGATGTTTAACAAAGACAGGTCATCATGCACCTTTATACATAATAAAACAAGGTGAAAGAAAGGAGACTATACTTAAGCATTAATAAAGAAGTAATACCAAGACTTATTTTAAAAAGTTTAGAGGTCAAAGGCAGTTAAAAGAATTAAAAAGTGGGGAAGAATTAAATCTCCTACCTGTGAATTTACAAACCGGACCACAATGGAGTTTTTGCTGGATTTAGCTCATAAGAGATTTTTTTAAAGCTATTATTTTTTCTAAGTTTTTAAACAAACTTAGACACGTTGTTCCATAAGATTAAAAAACTGGGGAAAATATAGTGAAACAGCACATTGCCGGAATTGCAGCAATACTGTGACAAAATACATTTGTTTGCAGAACTTTTTTGGAGTAAAAAGTATAAGCAGTGCCTGAAAAAGAGCTTTACAACTGATGGACAGCAAGAAATGTCTGAATTTGCTGGAGAAGTTATTTAGGAGGGCCTAATATTTTACAGATGATGGTGGATCTTTATTACTATTTCCATGTGTGAAAATTATCCATTTTTTATTCAATATTTTCTAATGGCCAGACGATCTTGGGCTAAAAGTTCTACATAGTCTCTAACAGCCTACAAGTACATGCTGCTGTACTGCAGCCATTTGAAGCATTTGGCATGTAAAGGTAAGTGATTCTAATCAAAGCAGAAAGTGTCTGCACACCATGGCATAATATTCCATCATATAGACTCAGTAATGTAATGCTTTAGTTAAAGCTGTAACTATACAGCACATGTGACATATATATTTCAGTTCTAGTGCTTAAAAAATATCCTGAAATGATGAAAAAGTTTTTGGATTTGTTATTGACCACATGTCATGTCTATAGTATCAGTTGCATAAAAGACATGAAGTTACACTATAAAAGAAAAAATGAGCTCAGTTTTCAGGGAGTTGTATTCAGTTTGGAATAAAAGGAGCTCCAACACCTATTAATTTTCTCACATTTTGAAAAATCCTTTTCCAGGAACACTTGTCAACTGTGTGCTTTCCAACTTTGGAAAGTTTGGGAAAAACAGTAGTACATCAGCAAAATAAAAATGCATAGAAGTTTATTCTAGATTAATGGATTTGAAACATTGCTGATAATAAACTGACCAGTTCATCATCAAGCAGAAAAGCAAGTACAATGTACTGTAAATGAATTTGATCTTTATTTTTAGTCTTCTATCCTAATTCAAGTTGAATTCCACCAGTCCCTGTTGGTTACTTCGGTCTATCAAATGCAAAGTGGGCCAGTTTGACCTAATTACATGAGGCATTCTAAATTAATTTAGAACATGAGTGTAACCTTACAAGCTTATATGAAAATGTTGCAGCAGTTCAACTAAGCAAAACCTTAATGTTCTGTAAATTTAGGATAATTTTAAAGACAGTAACTTACTGGGTGTTCTCAAAGACTCAAAGACTAATACTACGTTCACACGTGATTTCAGCAGCAAAAAAAAAAAAAAAAACAACTACCTGCTGCTTCTTTTTTTATGCTTGTATACATTAAGGTCAGACGCATTTCTAGACCATTTTTTGATGCTACTGAAGTGCATCCAGTAAAGTTCGTACAGATGCGTCTGATGCTTCTGCTGCTCCTGTAGGCAATGTCAGAGAGCAGTTTTGCTATATTAGCGTGATCACTGGTTAAAAAGTAGTTTTAATATACTTTTAAGTGAGAAAGTACACCTAAAAACACAATCTGTACAGTCAGTCAATCAAAATTACGATCCTGCCTTAAATATAATTTCGCTGTAGGAGCCGCGCAGACCCCCCATATATCTCAGGTGCGCTGTGACTGAGAATCCCCAGCAGCTGCTGCCTCAGACACACTCGCCTCTTGGGGTTTTTTTTCCCCTAATATTGGTGGTGACTGGAAGTAGATGTTAGCGTTTTTCAGGTATGTGGTACAAACCGCTGGCACCAGGATAATAAAAGCGAACATATCTTGTCGGCAGGTTTCAACATTTTAAGTAGGTATTAATAAACTGTTTTAGGGGAGTGATCATAGCAATCTGCATGGGGTTTCTGTCTCCCTGCCAACTTCCGGGTCAGCTTCTCTAATTGGTTGCTGTGGTGCATCAAACTAACCTGACAACAGCCAGATGCATGTCTCGCTCCGCCCAGCTCCACTCACATACATCTGGGAACCCGCTCATTGAAAGTGATTTCCCCAACCGAATTTATGGTCTGTCCAATCAGGACGCAGGGTGGGTGTGTCGTGGAGTGGAGAAGCGACCGTGAGATTCCAACAACAATGGCGGCTCGCATTGAGGAAGCAAGCGTTAGCATTGATGCTGCTATTTCTTCTGTGTTGTCCAATCTATCTGATATTGTTTCATCAAAAGAACATCAGAGAACGGCTTTGAAGGCTTTTGTTGGTGGAAACGATGTTTTCGCCCTTCTCCCGACCGGATTTGGCAAGAGCTTGATCTACCAAATGGCTCCTCCTCTCACAGCGTCACGGGTTAGCTTCGGTGTGAGTGGTTTAAATAGCACGTCAATAAAGATGACAGACAAGTGGCTTATCCAATCATATGCAAGGAGTTTTGATAAGGCCCAGCCTTCAGTAAAGGCAATTCCTATGGCGGGTTCCCAGATGTATGTGAGTGGAGCTGGGCGGAGCGAGACATGCATCTGGCTGTTGTCAGGTTAGCATCAAACAGCAAAAATTAAATTTTTCCAACTCCAGCAGCTGCTGCTTTTGAAACACATCACACGCCTAAGATGCTCAGAAGCTCATGAGGCACTGCTCCTCCAGTGTGAACGTAGCATAAGTATTTTACTTAGCATAGACCACATAGACATATTTGTCTTTGCAGAAAGCTGTTGAAGTTTTGCTGCAGGGGAAAAAAGCAAGGCAAAGAAGTAACCTGCTGTGCTCGGATGTATAAAAAAACATGGTCTGAGATGTCACAAATGTTTAAGGTTGACTTGTGATTTGTGAATAATATAGCTTAAGTTACCTAAAAGCTAAGTTAAATAGTTTGTGTAAAACTGTTTTAGATGCTTTGTTCAAAAAAATCTATTGAACCCTCTTAGTGCAACTGAACAACAGTGAGGTGATGGGTAGTTTGTATTGACTGCATGATGTTTTACTAGAGTTAAACTTCAGTCAATGCTTTTGTCTCAAAGTTATACATTATTCAAAATGCACACATTTCAAGTACAATGTTTAATGAATCCAGTAAAAAAATATGCATGAGAAGAAATAAATCAGCTACTAAAATCATTGGTGATTGTACTGCTTTGCAAATTGCAGTGCATTTACAAAAACTAAACTGCATGATAACTTGGATTAATGTGGAAGAGTTAAGGTGATGCTGTGCTGCTTTCAGCAAATATCAATCAGTTACCATTAACTTAGCTCATGAACGAAGGTAAAATACTCCTTCTTCCCTCTTTCACTGTGCTCTTGTTTTATGTTCTTGGTTATTAAAAAGATAATCATAACATTAACTGTGAACAAAAGTAATTCTTCTGAGCTTTACAGTAGATTTATATGGTATAATTTATCGGTCCTTGGTATTTAATAATTATTTCAAATTATTATCTTGATAATAGTGTTCTATGCTGCATACATTTAAAATCAGTTCTTAAATGTACAACTTACATTGTGTATGTATTGTTTTTTTTTTCTTTTCTAATGCACTTCCTTTTACCTTTAAAGCATTATGATTAATTTGGTACAAATGTTGCTAAAAAAACATGCATTGACTTCCTTGAAGGATCTTTAGTCGAATAATATGAGATAATTTCCTAATTACAATACAGAAAGGACAGTTTTCAAACTAATAGATAACTTTGAAGTGAATAAACCATCTTGTTACACATTATTCTGTGTTTTTCAAGTCTTACTGTCTACAGTATAATGCATTCAGCACCTATACGGTTGCCTTCACGCAAGATTATTAGTGTCTTAAATTTCCCTGCCTGGTCTTTCAGCTATTGTGACATAATTTTTCAAAAAATAACCAATTTATCAAATCTTAATTTGATAAAATTTGCAGGTTATAATATATTGTTATATAAAAAATGTGTTTGCACTCAGAAAATAGGATATCGTTCTTCCACTCTCAAAGAGCTAAAACGTTCAAAAATCAAGAGTGGGGTCATTAGAGGAAACAAACGAGTGCAAAATAAGATTTATTCCCTACAAGTGATTTCTTCTTCTTCTTCTGACCTGTTCTAAACGTGTCTAAGTTGTGGCAAAATGTTTTTGTTAAAGCTTTGAAAACTTACAATGTTTCGGGCGGAGAAGTTCCGGATCGGGTCTTCGGCAGCAAGCGACACAGAGCTCAGCATGATGAACACCAAGATGAGGTTGGTAAATATGTGGTGATTGATGAGTTGATGACAAAACACCCGAACTCTGGAAGGAAAAAAGGAGAAACATGTAACACCAAGATGTTAGATGAACCATTTAGCTTTACTCACTTTCTTGCTGTCTGGAAAAAAAGCACAGAAGCTTGAGTTAAGAGATGAAGGTTTATTCATTAGCTTTTCTCCCATCAATAAAACAATGCTGAAATGTATATGGAATGCAAATGTATGTTCTCCATTTAAATTTTAGGACAGTAAAATTTTCTTTGCTTGCATTTTATGATTCTTTGTGTGTAGTGAATTTGATGTGATCGTTCCTAAAACATGATCTGCTTTTATGGGCATTATTAAAATATTTGAAAATATATCTATTCACTTATGATAAAATGCGTCTTACGGGTTCGTGTTACTGAAGATGAAGAAGGCACTTCCCTCTGGGATCGGAATGATCTTTTCCTTCTTCACCAGGTCAGCGATGACTGGCCGTGGACCCGATGGGACTTCTGGGTCTTCTTCATCTCCTCCAATTTCATCATTATCCTCATCCTCATCTTCCTGATAGACAAAAAATAATGGTAATAAATGAGTATGAGTAGCAATACACTGATTTATCTGATTTTTGTTTAGTGTAAAAAAAAATGTGGCCATACCTTTTCATCTTTTTCATCATCTTTCTTATCCCTACAAGTTACAGGTACATTTTGTAAGAATTTATCTATATAGTAAAAAAAAAAAATAGTAAAAAATTAGGCTTCACAGAACCAGGAAGATAAATTCTCACCCCTTCTTATCTCCTTCATCTGTGTTGAGAGACTCTGCATCTGCCAGGTTGTCCACAGCAATGGCCAAAAAGACATTTAGGAGGATATCTGAGCATTAATGTCAGGAAAGAATAACCTGATTTGAGAGCAAAGATTACAAACAATTTGCAGTGTTTAGAACCACATATCAGACAGAAGAGTGCCAGAATGAGTCAGGATACAGTTTCCACATATGAAGAGAATGATAAAGTAAAAACACACGATCATCCCAGAGGAGGAGGGGCCTCCGTATGCCATGATGCCATCATACATTACAGCGTTCCAGTCTTCTCCGGTCAAGATCTACAAAAAACATAGTAGTTAATGAGAAATCCAAAGATGGGAAAGTACAAAATTAAGCAGGAAAACAAAATGGAAAGCCCTCTGATCTTTTTCTCTTTACAATCTTCAAAATATGGAAAATTTTAAGGGTGCATCATCACTTTATATGCCTATACCAAAAAACACACACACAAAAACACCAAACATTTGATCATGATAAGTTTTTATACACCAAGATTCCATCTTGGTAGTATTTTGATAGTCCTTTAGAGCCTAAAAAGAATCCCATCACTGGGCAAAAGGAGCAGACATAAACAACACAGCAGACTATCAGAAAGCCAAATGGCAACTACTAAATAAAGTCCAACTATTCTGCAATGCAGTCCTGTAAAGCAGCAGCTAAGCATGGTTGAAGACAAATATATCAATTGAATCTAATCTAAAGCAACTCTAGCTTCTAGCCCATGCTCCCAGAGCCTCCTATCAGAACCTCGAGGAAAAAAAACTGGGACACAGTATCAAGGAAAGAATCTATCTATTTATAATGTTTTTTTATTTGATTTTAGAGACTAAGAATATCATTCTATAATATGAATAATTTCAGAATAAGTAAGGATATTTATTCACACATCCATTAACTTAGTAGCCACATCTTAATGCCTGTTTTTTTTCTTTTTTTTACATTGGAGCTCAGACTTTCCTTTATTGTTTCCACACCTAGTTCGGAGATGCTAATGGGCATAGTGGTAATAGGCTACTGCTTCTTTACCCCCTGTACACATGCAGTATTATACCTATAGTACTTATAGTATTTATATGTAGTAGTTAAATGTACACAAAGGGCTGTATTTATTAATAAACTGAGTCAAAACAAAGGGTAAAACACAAGCTTAACAAATAACGTTGAAGCAGCACATGGTAATCTTTTAGAAAAAAGGTCTGCATGCAACCAGAGTGATTAATGGTGTATAAATAAAAAAGAAAAAGTCAAATATTGTGACTATGCCCCTTTGAAGTAAAGATCGGGCAAAACGGAAAAGTGAAAAAAGATTTGTAACGCCTTTGCAAGGCAGTATACTACGACATATCTGAAACTAACAATAATCAGTTAAACATTTAGAGTTGGAAACATTTCTGAACGCTGTGTGACTTCAATATCTGATCTTTCAAGTTTTCCTTAGCCTGAGGCAGACATTTTATACTTGTCAGTACTAAAGTCCACAGAAAAAAGACTCCTAAATGGATTGGTTATAGCGTTTAAAAAGATGGTAGAAAATTAAGAATATGATCTGTAATGCGGAACATTGAAGACAATCTCAAGAACATCGATGCTGAAATATCTGATTCTATTTTGTGAAATTCTTTAAGAATAAAAACAAAACAGCATCATATATTTTAAGTGTTTAGATGTAGAGTCTTGTTCATATTGCTTCTGTTATCCAGGCTCAACTTGAAAAAATATCAGTAAGCTTGTTCTTGTTAGATAAACTAAATAGGAGAAAGAAATACCTGAAACACAGTGAGAAGGGCTTGGGGAAAGTTGTCAAACGTGCTTCTCTTTGTCTGGGTTTCGTCAAAGTTGAACTTTCCACCAAACACCTGCATTCCCAGCAGGGAGAAGATGATGATAAAAAGGAAAAGGAGCAGCAGCAGGGAAGCAATGGACTTCATGGAGTTAAGCAGGGATGCCACCAGGTTACTCAGAGACTGCCAGTGCCTATAAAATCCAATGGAAACAAGAGGTTAATTGAATCAATAACCTGCTAAGAGAGGAGATACACTAACAAACATGAAGTGAGAAAAGAAACTCACCGTGTGACCTTAAAGATCCTCAGCAGACGGACACAGCGGAACACAGAAATACCAAGAGGAGACATGATTTCTAGTTCGACAAGAATGGTTTCAGTGATTCCTCCGCACACCACAAAGCAGTCGAAGCGGTTGAACAACGACACAAAATAGGCTTGTAGTCCCAAACTGTACATCTTCACCAACATTTCACATGTGAAGAGGGCCAGGAGCACCTTGTTTGCCACATCTGAAATGCAGAGATAAAAGTATTTGTCTTTTGTTCTCCTTATCTTACCTAATTTATTTTATTTATTTTTTTATCATTGAAGTCAAAGAAAAATATAGAAATCACACTTTTCCGTGAGATAAGGAAGAACAAAGGAAACAGGCGAACAGACAAAATAGCAAGGAAAAAATGTGGGTGAACAGTGAGTTCAGTGTAGCCATTTAGTATGTTTTAAAAACATTACAAATTAAACAGTGTAAATCTAAAGAGCAAAGCTACTGCAATTCCTCTTAAAGGAATAGTACACCCAAAACATGATTAGCCTTCATTTTCTACTCACCCCCATGCTGAACAAAACTCTGGAGTACTTTTTTGATATCTCAAATGCATCTGGAGATCTGGGAGGCTTCTTGCTGTCTGCTGACATTCAAATAATGGAGGTCTATGGCGCCCGAGACAGAAAGGTCCACAAAAGTCCACAAAAACTTGTCAATATTCCTCCATACTGCTCGTCCAATGTAATCCAAGTGTCCTGAGTGGGTAGCATCCAGAATTTACTCGAAACGAAGTCATTTAGAACGTTTTAGAGCCTAAACAGTAGTGTATAGGATTTCCTAATAGCGCCCCCATGCGCGCTCACGATTCTACGGAAGCCGGCAGACCAAACCAGCGCATTCAGCTCGGCAAAGAACTCATGCTCTTCCTCAACACTGAAGTCCTCAGACATTTTTCTTTCGTTGTTTCTTTCTTTGCACAGGTAAACAGCACATTTCTTCTTCTACGCTTGCATTATCGGCAGACCAGACGCTGAATGCGCACTTTCTTCCGGTTTGGTCTGCCGGCTTCCGTAGAATCGTGAGCGCGCATGGGGGCGCTATTAGGAAATCCTATACACTACTGTTTATGCTCTAAAAACATTCTAAATGACTTCGTTTCGAGTAAATTCTGGATGCTACCCACTCAGGACACTTGGATTACATTGGACGAGCAGTATGGAGGAATATTGACACGTTTTTGTGGACTTTTATGGACCTTTCTGTCTCGGGCGCCATGGACCTCCATTATTTGAATGTCAGCAGACAGCAAGAAGCCTCCCAGATCTCCAGATGCATTTGAGATATCAAAAAAGTACTCCAGAGTGTTGTTCAGCATGGAGGTGAGTAGAAAATGAAGGCTAATCATGTTTTGGGTGTACTATTCCTTTAAAAGGCATAAGTAATTAGCAATTTGATTGGTAAACTTTGATTTATTATTTTCTAAAAATTTGAAAAAAATCCAAGTTGCATCAGAAGTGCTGGATTAAATGTACCATACCTTAGGATAAAGAGAAAGTCAATCTGAGTTTTTATATTCAAGCCACTTTTTTATCATTGAGTCTTTAACAGGGCCAGTTTCAGCTGAATAAATGTGACTTTTGTCTTTATCATTACTTTTACAAAAAGCACATTAGTCTAGGTTTACATCTTTAACTCCCCTTTATTTCACAGTTTTAGCTACTTGGCTTTTTTTGGCTCCTGGAGGCCAGATGCTGTGAGTGGCCTTGAGTTTAACATATGTGAACAAATAGTTCTTGTTGTGACACAGTCTTTTTTTAGTTAACTGATGTATCTGAGTGTTTTGATCATACCCTGCACTTGTGTCAGCCACATAGGCTGGTTGTAATGCTCTGATGAGATGGTGAGCGTGTTGAGGAACACCAGGATGATGACCAACCAATAAAAAGGTACCGACTTTACAGCCAAACGGCACTTCCTGCGGCAGAACCGGTTCCAGCGGCGCCAGCGCCGACTACAAGGAGAGAGTATGATAAATATAAACTTAAGAAAAAACACACAATGCAGTCTTCATACTACAGTCCAAGCCTCAGGGGAACTGTGTGAGTAGAATTTTGCAAGTCCTACTAAACAGCAAGAGCTTAAAACACTGAGTAAGGCTTTTCTATAAAAATACTATATGGTACATGCTGACCTTACAAAAACTGCTAATTTATCATGCCCAGAAAAAAAAAATGTTATGTATAAAGACAAAAGCCAGAAACAGACTTATAGTGGAATACAATAATACAACTTGTACTTCCTTTTCACACTAGAAGATGCATCCTGACAGATATACTGACCTGAACTTTGACTTTGAGATTTTTTGACTGAAAGAAGAAGAAAATAAATGATAAAGTATTTTAGAAACACCAAGGGATTATTTTAAGGTTTAAAAGCACCATGGACTAGCATTTAGTTTATATGAGAGGTTTGTTGTTCTGTACAGACCACAAAGGTCCACAGCAGGGTGTCTTTTCCTCCTCGCCATTCTGGTTCTCAGTGTTCACAGATTCTGTTTCACTGGCTGGGACGCTCGCTGCAGCAGCACACAGAACAATCATTAACACTTAATAACTCATAAGCATGTGTATCCAAAAAGATGATGATAAAATTCTTAATCTATGTTATTCATAAGGATTGTTAATTAACATCACAATGCATGTTGTCTTCCTCTGGATATGCTACACCACTCACAAAGGACCCACTTCCCAAAGAGACAATGTCCCACTAATGCTGGATTCCGGACATAAACAAATAACTTATATCCTACTACCTATAGTTTGTAAATCAGCTTCATCTATATCAGCATCGTAAGGGGAGAAATTATCATAAAAAGCTGCCAGAGTTCAGTTTTTTCGATTTTTTCATTTGCTTTTTTGTTAAGTGAGGCACTGCACATATGAGTAGTCAGCAGGAATATCTGTATAGATCATTTTTGGTCATCTTACAGCTTCAATCCTTGCAACATGACATCTCTTTGGCCTGACCAGCTGTGTTACACAGTGATGCTCTTATGCTTGCACTGCAGTGGCAAACTATTTCACTTATGAGAGCAACTGTGGCAGTTAAAAATGCAATAATCATTCAGCATTTATAATTTCTTATGCAATATAATCAAGACAAAACTGCAGGGCTCCGCCTAGCCTCCTGCCTCTAAAGCCTCTGTGTCCAATGTTCCCACAATGCGTTGGGCTGCTGACATTACATTCACAGTCCCTATATATAGTCTGCTTTAAAGAAAATCAGGAAAGTTTAAGTTGGCTGCTGAACCGTAAATTCAAGACAGTCAGACTTTTCTGGTTGTGCTGCAATCAAACACTAAAGCTAGAAAAAGGAGCAGCTGTGTTGTTATTATCAAGATCTTCCTGAAGATGATGTAAGGCAGTGACAATGCAGTCAATTTCACAGCTGTCATACCAGGGACAACTAACACTAAAAAGAATATAGAAAACATCAGAGAGAGCAGGTCAGAACTCCTATTCCTTGTCTTTGAAACACTGCTCTTGCAACACTTGATGATAAGTGGTGTGCAACTACTCAGCTCTTAAATTCAGGTAAGGGAGCGTGTTTCTGCTGGGTTTATGTGGACAAGTTGTCTTTGATTCCTGAGCTTTCAAACAGCTTTCAGCTCTGAAAACAGTGCTGACTGCTGGAGTCGTGAGCTGGGTTTAGCCCCGTTTCCCATATTCAGACTTCTGCTTTTAAACTAGGGCATAGGGAGTTAAGTATGTTAAGTGGCTGCCCCATGCACAGCCATTTTTTTTTAACCAGCGAATCAAATCTTATTTATTGGCAAACATGTAAGGTTTTTATTATAACAGAAAGGATTTTTCGACCAGTGCACAGGAGAGAAGTACATGTTATTAGGTAAGGGAGTGATGTAATATTCACAAACTTGCATTGCACCAATCCTATATAATAATATTATTAGTAAACATAGAACAAGAAAAAGAAAAGACTTTAATACAATCATTTTCATCTTGCAAAGTCTTGACTGTGTATTACACTGCTGGAAACTAAAAATAAAATCTATTCCCAATCAGATTATGCACCAAGCTAATGTGTTTTTCCACAATCTATGAGGGTTAATAAATAAAATAGACATAGTAAATATTTTCTTCCCCATTAATGAGTTTAATAGAGTCAGAGAAAGCACAAGTAGAGAATGTTCTACAACATATCTACATCCTGTCTCGGGTTTAATTAGGCTTTGTGAAAATGAGACACTTAACAAATAACATGAAGCTTTACAAAGGCTTTTTCTGTCTGTTATGGGATATGTTGTTTTCTAAAAATCTCTTTTACAGTAAAAAGTCATCAAAAAAACAAAAACATATATTTTTTATTCTAGCCACATAACAGTGCTACTCAGTAATATATGATATTGATACTTCTTAAATGTCAAGTGTCACCATTCTGTCTTTCTTTTTTAAACACTAGAAGATCCCTGTTTTCAGAAATTATTCTCAATGGTGTTACCGCTACAATAAGATGGATATATTTTTCTGTTGTTCTAAGATAGCTCTATATTAAAGTTCCGTTAAGATAAATCAGCCTCAAGGTCAAAGCTAAAAGTGTTATAACGAAATTGATGCATTGTAATCTACACAGTAAGTGTTGCCAGTTTTAATTTTTAGGAGCTAAGTTTGGAGCTTCAGTGTTTAAACACCTACATTTGTTTTACAAAGACACATTTTCAGTAAAAGGGTAAAGATAGGTAAACTATATTACAGTGCAGTGCAGTTTTCAGTTTTTTTTTTTTTTATCTCAAAGGCCTTTTGCTGCAAGATTGTCCTTCACTGTAAAATGAATGATATTGTCTAATTTTCTCTGACTGCTTTTCTCATAAGGAACAGCGAGATACAGTGGCAAGTGTAATATCAGCCACGTTTGTTCTTAAGGATTTAAGTTTTTACCAAAGGCAACATCTCTTAGGGAATGAAATTACAGTTTGCTCCACCTGATTATGAATAAGGATTTTAGTTGTTCAATTTACAGCATGTATGTACAAATACGTATCAAGAAATTTAATTAAATGTACATAAATAAATAAAAAGGGTATAATATCCAGTTCCCTTATATAAAAAAAAAAAATGGAAAGCAAACCCCACATTCCTTAAAGGTTAGTTTTAGAAAAGTGTAGTTCAGAGTAGTATATAAAATTGTAATTTTAAATCATATTTAGTTTTGACTTTAATATACTTTGAGCTGTCTTTGAGCTGTCTGAGATGCAAGAAAAAAGAAATAAATTCATTAAAGAAATATTTTGATATTCTTTAAAAACAATTTTCACTCACTCTTAATATTAAAGATACGACTTGGTGAAATTAATAGAGAAAACATTAAGTACTTCAACATATTCTGAAAAACAACCCATTCCTCAAAGTTTGATTAATTATTATCAGAGTTATTTATTTGCAAAATGTGATCCAAACAACACATAGAGTATGTGGACATAAACACAAACTAAAGCTTAAGTACACTAAAGGGAGAACCACAGGATTTACCATGAGTGTCAGACGACTGGCTGAACCACCCAAACCTTCCTTTCTTCTTCTCAGTGAGGTCAGCCAGAGTCACCCCTTCATGTGCAATGCATGCAAGCCCCCATGCATTCACACACAACGGCACAGCAGAGGGATATGGGGGGCAGGGGAGAGGGCGAGAATGGACTACTATCAAAATGGGTCAGAGCACACAAGCCATCACAAGACAACAACAGTATTCAAAGTGTCAATATCCAACAATAACAAAAGCAGCAGGAGTCACACTGGATTGCAGACACTGAGTAGGGCAGAAGAACAACAATGGAGAGCAGTTAGTCACAGGAAGCATCTGAAAGTGATGAGGACCTGGGCTAACATGCACACATGTTAGCTGCTGGGACTCATAGATTCCCGACCCACACTTAAAGCTGCATGAAGATGAATATTGGAGCAAAAAACTGTGGACCACTGGCCTTTTTTGTGAAAACTGAAAGAAATGCTATTTATGAAGAATAAAAATAAATAAGTATTTGAAATAAGTTGAAAAATATAAGCATATGAAGCATTGTGTTAATATGTAGATGATGCAATAACCTCACAGAGTAATCAATATTATCTAATACAAGGTATGGCCAAAGTAGGCTTAATGCTTTTGACTACAATTAGGAAATTGGCTCCTTATAAAAACTTACCAAACCTTACCACCTCAAAATATGCAAATTACCGCTAAAGATATTTTGATATCTCAGTTAATACATGTTCCATTTTCAGTAACATGTATTTAGGAAAACGGAAAATTTCTAGCCTTTATATCCATTTAGAGAACTTTTACAAAAGGTTTGATTTAATTAAAATTTGATCCACCTGCTCTTTCTACTCAACCAATATTAGCAAGTTCATGCAAAATGTCAGTATTACAAGGATTAACCAAACCTGCAATCAGGATAATGGTGCCTCTTTTTAATTTGATCACAAACAAAACACATTTTTTGGATTAAAAAGTTTTAAAAGATAATCTGGTATGCAAAGTGGAGCTCTTGCAATTGAGCAGGAACAAGAAAAAAAAATCCAAGCTCTGATTTAGGCAGTATGGAGTGAATACTGTGAAACTGTAATGATGCAGTAATGATGCAGTTACATGATGTAATTGAAAATATACATTTTGTGGTTGTAAAACAATTATTTCAGCAACTATGATGGTTATGAAGCGTAGCTTTTTGCGTTTCATTTTAGACACAACTATCTTCTTAAGTTCTTTAAAATATGCAGGTATTACTGCAAAAATTCAAATTAAATTTACTATTGTATGATTAGTAGTGAAATTCAAACATTGCCGTACTTGAGGGTCTTTTTTGTTTACGTTGAGTGTAATTTTTTGTTTATTTGATATGTTGTGTTTAAAGCGCCTAATTTGCCAGTAGCTTTCAGTGCAACAAGTTTATCTGGTCACCATGAAATGTGCTAATCAGCAGCTGAAGCCAAAAGCATTCAAGCGAACAAAAAAACCAAAGCTGCTGAATATTTTCCTTCATGATCCGAAAACAGCAGCTTGTGCTTCTTGTTAGAGAGAGAAAGTGGGGGTTGTTTGCTTACGGTTCCTCTTGCTCCCATCCTCAGCTTCGTCCTCGTTGTCAGGGTCGATATCTTCAGCCTGAGTGATCCAGTCCAGGTAGCCCTTCAGGTCCTCTTCCAGCTGCTGCTTCTCACGCAGCTTCTGGAAGTCTCCTCGAGCTTTAGCTTTTTCCCTCTCCTTGGAGAACTCTCTGCAATTTAAGCAGTAATCATAAACAATGCAAACACCTACACATACAACAATGTGCAAACTTAATGCAAACACAAATTTAAAACCATTCACAGCAAACAGGACAGACTCTCCTATACAAAAAGAATAGCTCAGTAATTTAGGATTACATTTTACCATTTTAATCTCTGGTTCTTTTCTGTGGTATGGCCATATATTTAGTGTCTGTGTTTTTCTGAACTCTTGCCACTGGAGGGAGATGTGCACAATGCAGAAACTGTCAAATGCTATAAATAGAGTCCAGCAGTACAGTAGCATATCCTTGAGGCGAGCATCTTTATCATAGAGAAAAGGTAATATCTGCAGGCAGTTGGTTTTATGAAGACATGCAAAATTTCCCTTAAATCCCTTTTTATGTGAATTTGATAGTGAAATAAATAAGGGGATTAAATGTTTATACTAAGATAAAGACACATTAATTATGATACAATGACTGAACCAAATACATACTAATTATGCAACAATCTAATACGCCAAACAGAACAGGAAATTTGCTCAGTGGTGAGGAAGATTCAAAGAAGGGAGAAATCGTTAAATTCAAAGAAGAAAAAACTGAGGTTAACAGATGACATCAATTTAAAACGATCAACAGAAACTAGAGGTGAATCTGATGTGACAGCTTTGTGAAACTTAATGGCTTTCTAAAAAAAACGGAAAAATAAACTCTCCTTCCTTGATTCCTTCCTTCCGTTCAACAAGCCAGAGTTAAATTGACTGTAACACCCAGCCCCGCTCTGCAGAGCTCAGAAAGCAAACTGGGGTTTGAGAGGGCTTAGGAGCACAGAGGGAGTGAAGAGCGAGGAATATGATTAATTTTTCCCACAGAAGGATGACTGTGTTTGGGATAGGCTGAAGGGTGAAATGTTCACAATATAGTTGTCAAAGACAAATTTCAATAGCTAGCTACAAAGTGTAACAAATATATTACAGATAAACAAATCACCACTTAATGTTGATAAATCAAAATGTATGGTATTTAGAAACAAAAACAGTAATACTGGCATAAGTCTAAAGATTTGGGATGTTGAAATCAAAAGAGTTTGGGAGACAAAATTTCTCGGAGTAGTAATTAATTATAAATTGAGCTGGAAACGGCATATAGAATATTTCAAAGGAAAAAGTCATTAGCAATTTTACCTAAAACAAACAATACAGTATGCTTAATTTTAAAGGTTTGGATTTACTGTATTGCTGTCTGATACAGATTATTTAACATACCATGTAGAATAATGAGGAACAAAACTTAAAAAACTAAAATGGAAAAGATCATGTTGCAACAAAAAAAGAGTCATATTTATTACAAATAATGCAGGATTTTGTGACCAATCCACTATTTATAAATTCAAATATAATGAAATTTAAAGGTCTTGTATACTATTGAATAATGCAATTAATGTACAAAGCAAAAATTAAATTACTACCAAAGAAAAGAACAGACGTTCTTCTCTATTACAGAAAGTAAATATAATTTTAGAGATAAATGTAAATTCATCTAAAAAAGAAGTCACAAAGGAAATCAAAATGAGATATATTTCAGAGGTCGGAGTTAAAATGTAGAACATCTGTAGTTCAGAGTTAAAGTCATGAATGTCCTTTAAGTTTCAAAAAGGCTGTGCACATCATTATTATTGAAAATTATCGCTTTACATGAAGTATATTTTCTATTATTATCACGGAGTTCTTTATCGTTAAGTGAGAAGGCAGGCAGGAGTCTAACATCTCATGAAAACATTTAACTTTCTTAAAACACTTTAATGCAGAAATCACCTCTTCATAACCGTATATTATCATGAACAGGAATAATGACTTAAATATTCACCAGACCACAGTCAATATTGATGCTAAAAATGTTCACATCGGTGTAATATCAATGCAAAAGTCAGGGGATCGGAAAAATTTGGTAGAAATGCACAGTGACAAGAATAGTGAGGCTGAAGTAAACCTCTCCAAGAGTTTGAGGTGGATTCATAAGGTGTGGGCTGTGGTTACATTCAGTGTTTCAAGAATCATAATGCAGGACAACAGCTACAGCTGCCTCTGTCAAGTGCCTCCAAATGACATCTGTTATCAATTAGTGCTATATGACTACACTAAAATAAACTGAACTTTCACAATAACTAATTTAATGTTCACCCAATGGAAAAAAAATATATATAAAATGGTGGTAAATAACATTCTCAGTAGGTAAGTGTTCTTAAATATTCAGCAAACTGAACTGACCCAAATCCCATAGAGCACCTTTACAATAAAATAAAAAGGAAAAATGAGAGCCCTCGGACAGTAAATATTGGTACTGAAGCAGCCTGGCAGTCTTTAACACTGCATTGCCACATGCTGCCACATGTCACAGTGCTTCCATGCCACACTGCATTGATGAATTATTTTTGCAGAAAGAGTCCCAACTAATTATCATGTGAATATAGTGTGCATTGCTGTATATGAACATACTTTATAGCAGCTCAACCTTTCTGTATCAAAAATATGTTCTTATTGATATTAAGTGATTCTCTGATTTTAGGAAGGTGACTATTCATTTGTAATAGCTGTAGTAATAATCAGGGATCATAAATAAGTATTTCAAATAAATCAGTGTTTATTTAATCCATATCATATTTGTCTAATAATTTAGCTTTTGGAATTTAATTTCTATAACTGAGACGCAGCTGTATAATTGTGTCAAGGTAAGATTGCCAGTTCAGATTTATTATCTACCACCATTTTTAAACACAGAAAAACATCCACACTGCAGGCCAAATCCACTGCACAAGTTGCCTCTTACCCACTCAGCACACCTAACACAAGGTTTAAAACGAAAAAGGAACCCAGTATAATCAGGCTGACAAAATAAATCCACGGAGTTTCCCATCCGATGGCATCATTGACCTACAGGAGCCGAAAGCAGCTTGTTAAATGAAACAGACACAAACAAAAACAGAGAACCTCCAGCCCGTAAAGAAGCAGGAAGCCTCTGTCTTTAAAGAGAAAAGAGGTCCTTACCCACTCAACACACCCAAAACCAGGTTAAGAACGAAAAAGGAGCCGAAGATCACAAGACTGACAAAGTAAACCCATGGAAGCTCAAAACCCATAGCATCGTTCATCTAGAGAAGCAAGCAAAGGAAAAGAAGAAGAGAGAGAAGAGGAAAAATAGAGTAAAATAAGCAGTAAAGACAGAACTAAGATGAAAAATGTACAAAAGTCAGCTGTCTTAAAGGACACATTATGAAGCAGGGGGGAAAAAATCTGCTTTCTAGAAAACACAGATGATGAAATAACTACTTTTCCTGAACCCCAGTTCAGAGTTCTGCACAATGTTTTTAGCTGTTGCAGAATTTCTCCTTCAGAGATAAATTTCAGATTTTCTACTTCAGTTTAGCAGATTCCTGTTTCAGAGGAAACCCAGCTCAGAGTGGAATCTATCAGTCTCCATCTTTTATGCATCCACCCTCTACAGTGCTTTAAATCAAAGTGCAATTCCAGAGTGAAATCCAAATCAGTTTGTCTTAGTTATTTCCTCATTATGTTGATCTACTTTATTGTTTGCATCAGAAGTTTTTAATAAATTACATCAATCAATGAGTAATCACACCAGTATAATTGAGTGGGTTACTAACAGAGATTACGAGCTTAAGAAATATCTAAATCTTTTAATTAAGGAATAATAAAGCAGCATAAAATCTGAATTTTTTCACACTTTAATTGTCAGCCTAAATCAGAAATGTACATACATCATAAAAAGAATCATGTTTGTTCTCTCAGTGTATGATGTGAAATAAGACACATTTTCCAATGTGTGGACCAATGAGGGCTACTAAAATTATTTCTATTGGTTAAGCTGATATCAGGGATTTTATTATAAGCTGACTTTAACATTAACAGTGTTTTTTCTTAGGCTATTTTGTAATCTCTTGTAATTGGGGTTTTTGCATATAAAAATTGTATATAAAACTCTTAATTTGAACTTATACCAAAATCTGGCACAAGTTGTTTTTTTGGAATTATTTCTTCAAGAAAAATTCAAAATCAATCATTTATTTAGCTAAATTATCAGTTATTATTGCTTTTTCCAGTTTTGTGTTATTTGAATTAGTACTAGTGTGAAATTATCATTTTTTTTCTCATGAGAGGGCATGTAAACTTTCCAGCACAACTGTAGGTCAAAATGTTTTTAGAAAGCGGAGAAAAAGTTTGGTTGCCTCTGATTTAAGCTTATTTTGTGTTTGCTAAGATCAAGATGAATGAAGACTTCCTTTAAGCATAAATTAGGAAAACTAACATCTGCAACACCACTTAAACTATATAAAAAAACTATGTATTACATTTATGCAATAGAAAAGGTTTGCTTTAAGACCTGAGACCCTCTTCATTTGTTTTTTGTATTTTTGTAGGAAAATATTACCTCAGCAAGTATCTTAGCTTAAGAGCTTAAATTTTTGTTGCAAGCACCTTAATATTCCTTTCTGATTTTAATATTCAAATGGGTGTTAAAAACTTTTCCACTAACATGACATCTGGTGAGATCCTATGTAAAACAGCTGTCAGTACCTCCATGCCTGTGCTGGCATAGAGGATAAAATAATTAAATAACTGATGAGTAACTGCATAAATAACATATTGGACTTAATAATTGTAGAACATTGTTCTAGCTTCAGAAAACTACAAATTGAATGTCTCATTTAAAACAGGCCGTTTAGAATTCCAATAGTGCCATCCAGTATTCATTTTAAAGGTTGATGAATGTGCAAAGTCATTTAGCCAATCAATCATTATCATGCACAATAAAAGCTGCCTCAGGAAATGATCAGCAGCTTCATCATCACATTGTCACTCACATCACTCTTGTTGAAGATTCACTAAAGCTGAAGGCATGAGTCAGTCACAGGTTATTAAAATGTGAGGCCATAGCAGTACTCACCCAGTACAGCACGTCAGTCCAGCCCTCCATAGTGATGCACTGAAACACCGTCAACATTGCAAAGAGAAAATTGTCAAAGTTGGTGATGCCCCCGTTGGGGCCATGCCAGCCTTCTCTGCAGTGTGTGCCGTTGATGGGGCATTGGCGCCCGTGCCCTGAGATCGCACAGGGAGCTGGTTCATCCTCGGCTATCAAATCTATAGAAGAATACCATTAATCATCAGGCTGTTTTTACAGGTCTAATTTCTAGACTCATCTTGAATTTAGCATCAGAAAGGCTAATCCAACAGAATGGGTTAAGTATCATTCCGATTCACAAAATGATATTTTAAAACACAGTTACTAAACAATGTTTTTTTTTTCAGTGTTGTTTATATTTCTGTGTATTTGTATCCTTATTACCTATTAAAACCACCTAATGGGAATGCAAATAGTTTTGAGAAACACAGTTAGAGCTTTAGTAAAATGTTAATGCTGAAGAGTAAATTCTTTAACTAACATCACTGTGAAAATGTTCTTCGCCAATACAGTTTTATCTTGTTATTGCTATTTTATTACACTTAAAAGTTTCATATAATCATTAAAACATTCTAATATGAAAGATATAATAGAAGTAAATGTAAAAGTAGCATTTAAATGCTAAGCTATCCAAGGAACAACCTAAATACACCTTGACTTTTGTCAAAACATGCTTTAACTGCAAGTAACCATATTTTTCGGTTTGATTTAACCACGTAAGCTTAAACTTCAAAATAAAAAGGCCCTTAAGCAGTTATTGTCCCTAAACTTAAAGAACGCTGAAACATTTCAATGTATAATACAAGAATCTACAGAAATTTAAGAACAGGTAAGATAAGATGGGCATTTATCCTTCTGTGGACAATGTTCTAGTCACAATAATATAAAAATTCCAATTTTATTAGAACTTTATAGATGTTAAAAACTCAAAACAAGGGTAAATTTCGCATTTTATTTATTTTTTTTTTCTTCTTTGATTTCATTTGAGGCATTGGCAAATGTAAAGAACATTAATATGATGTAGATCACACCTCTCTATCTAACAAATATCCTGAAGAAACCTATTTTAAATATAATATATATATTTTAAGTTACATACAACTTCAAAGAAGTAATGGAAATTATTTTTATGGTCTTTATTGCTATCAAAATAAAGTACCACAAAATATCATTGTAAGATTTGAAGGCAATATTGCCAAGCCTAGATAAGACTCATTATCACTCTTATCTTTCAGTCAGCTGCTGAAGCAAGTGCACAGAAAACCTTACAGAGATATTTTTTGATAAGGAGAGCAGAAAAAAATCTAAAGTGCTATATTATCTAAAAAAGGTTATTAAAAATTAACAGTTCTCACCTGTGCCGGCTATGTAGCAGGTGGCATGCATTTTACCGATGAAAAGCTCCAGGCCAATAATAGCATAGATGATGATAACAAACAGGACAAGGAGGGCGATGTGCAGCAGAGGAACCATGGCTTTAATGATGGAGTTCAACACCACCTGTAAACCTTAGCACAAATAAAAATTAGCACATGGCAAGAATATGGTCATAAAATACATGATCTGTTACTGTGAAGAGTTAAACTCTTGGGGGTAAGGGATAAAGGGGGCAGGTTAAGAAAAGATTTAACTGTATCATGCAACTGAATCCACGGTACACTGTTATGCTGATAAAACTTCAGATACAAAATTTTTATCAGTGCAACTCTATGTTCAGTGTAAATTGTATTTATGCATGTTTAACACTAGAAAATCAGGGAAAAAATATTGCACTGATCCACTTACTGGGTACTCCTGAGACCAGCCGCAGGGGTCGCAGCACACGGAAGGCTCGAAGGGCTTTAACATCAAATCCACCGGGCTTACCCCCATGGCCATGCACAGACGGATGGCTACTGGCTCCTTCACCTTCTCCTTTGTCATCTTTGGTCAAGAATTCTAAAACAACACTGAAGAGTCTGCAAACAAAAAGACTCTCTATCAATTTCTAAGGACCAGGAATGTATATACACTAACATGCTTGTGTTGGAGTTAAATTCAAACACCAGATGTTAACATCCATCTATCATTCAATTTAATTCTTTAAAAAAAATTAAGCTGAATAATTGACATTCTTTCAATTATATAAGAATCTATAATAGGGAAAACAATTTTAATGCATTGTTAAAAGATAGAGCTGCTTTTTAATCATTATACTAAGACCTGTTAGAATCAACTTATAAAGAAGATGCATTTCATTTAAGTTTTACAAAAATTGTTTGTTTAAAAATATGCATTCATTATAATTTGAGGAAACAACAATAAGTCAAATATTGGATGTGTCTTGATATATCAATATTACTATATTGAATGTTTTAAAATTGGACATTTTAAAGTAGGGTTGTGCAACTTTGCCAAAAATCCAGTGTAATTGTGATACTGATTCTATAATGGTTTACCTCTGCCCTGCACTAAACACAAACAAGTATGTTCTAAGGACATACAATTAAAACCAGAAAATAGATTTTTTTATACATCAAAATATCTGTAGTCATAGTATAACCTGTTGAACCTAGACTGCATAGTGCACCAAATAAACATGGTTAAAACATTTTGATGACCATCATTATTGCAGGACTTTGCTGATATATAGAACTGTGCTGAATTTTACCTAATATGCTACTACTTGCAACTCTCTCTCCCCTTTTCTGTGGTTGAAAGCTATGCGAAACGTTTTCAAAATTTGAAATCAAGTCCAGTGGATTGTTTTTTATTTTTTTGGGAACAATCTTAAATTGTTATAAAGCCCTGAACACACCAGTTGCCTAAGACTTTTAATCTAGGATCCGATATATTTCCATGTCACACTGACTGCAAATAGAGAAGCAGGGAGGGTGGGTAGATCTGCGCAGATTTTTTTCACGTCTCTTTCAGTGCCACTCCAATTAAAACAATTTTCCATATTTCACTTAGATTATTAAAATGATCAAAAATAAATAAAAATAATCAGTGCAGCTGTAAAGGAAATCCCCACTTAATGAGTCTGGGCAGCATCTCAAACCAGAACAGATAGAGAATGTTCAAATGCCTATATTAAAAATAGGAGAACTACATAAAAACACAGAAATAAAGGCTGTTGGACGGTTTTAATGCTTTTAGAGGCACTATGAGGTGATTTTCAAAGAGATCTGTGAAGTTTATCTAAGTTTTTCTTTTTTTCCTAAAGACGTCAAAGAGATACGCCGCACTTACCTGCTCTTTTCATTATTTTTTCACAAGTCTGTCTTGCTTTCTATACACAGTACGCAATGTGAATGTCCAAAACTGTTTCCCCATGCGATTAGCAGATTTTATTTTGAATTTCCCCTGAACAGAATATGTTATACTAACCACGTCTCTCTTCCTGTCAGACATATGAAATTGTCTAAAATAGACCTGGGGTCTATCTCAGTCGGAGCTATGCAAGCCTTCTTAGAGAAAATCGTGTCGGGTGTGATCATACACTTTTACTTTTTTTCTGTGGGCAAAAAATCAGATTCAGTGTGTTCTGGCCTTAAGTGTAAAAGGGGCTGAAGACATACCTAGAAAGAGGGGTAACAGACAGTAGTGGTTCTCCTTACAGCAGATAAATACAAAGGCAAAACTAAATGTTATTTTCTTTTTAGTTAACTGGCAAACACAGGAGTGCATTGGTCTATCCCTATTAAAAAATGTATTTAAGTTTTTCTTTTCACCTAGAAATTGTAGATTTATAGGGGTTGGATCATTTCAGTTTCAATGTTCTCAATTTTTGTACTTTCACCTTGACATTAAACAATTTCATTACATATCTGCATATACTGTATTTTACGTTACTTGACGCCTCCATTCTTATCTTAAATGAAAACAGTTCATGTTTCTGTTGAAAATTGTACTTTGCCATTTGAAAAAAAAAAAAAACATTACCTTCATTAATCAAATAATGGTCTGCATTTCACCACAAACATGTATTTGCTATTTAAACATAAATGATAAAATTGTAAAGACACTTTTTTTGGAACACTTATGCACTGAATCTCTTGAATCTGAATCTCTTCTCTGACATCAGATACAAGCTGGATTATCTTGATTTGTCATTTCTGGTTTATAGCAGCAACATTCACTCTTCATAGCAGGGGCAGGCTTCGTTGCATGTGACTGGATGGCAGATCAACACCACATGCAGCACACAGACAGAGATCTGACCCAGCTACCCACTGGACTGTGCGTATTAGAAGAGAGATGCAGACAGGAGGAAAGGAAAGAAAGAGAAGGGTGGAATGGGGGTGTGAGATGGGGGTAAAAAAGATGAAGTTGATATGATGAGAGTGTGCAGGAGACTGGATTGAGGGTGGGGTGAGGTGGGGAGCTGAACAGCATGACCCATCAGAACCATGAAGTTAAAACGGAAGTTGTATTGTTGCCATCATATTCTTGTGTAAACTGTGGATTTTGTTTACTTGCTCTTGAGGCGATGTACTAATTGAGGGTCAAGGCCATATCCAGCTGTGCTGCACCAATCAATAAATATAAATAGAGGCTTTAAAAGCATGCACGAAATGTTTCTTTAGAAGTGTGACTTTCATATAAGGTGAACACTTATAATGTAATTTGCAAACAAATCCTGTACTTTGTATATGTTTTTATCTTCTATTTCTTGGAAATTGGTTTGTCTTTCATTTTGCACACTTCAAAAAGGAAGTCTATTTGGGTTTACATTTATTTTAAGAGAATATTAATTGAGGTAATAATACCAAAAAACTGCAGAGACAAAGCTCAGCAGGATGGCTGAGAGTGAGTGAAGGAGAGGGAAAGATGGGAGGAGTGTTGGAGAGAATAATAAAAATGGAGAGATGGTGACTCACTACCATGGTGGTAAAGCTCTGATTTATTCTCTCTGTCTTTTCTGGGTCATATACTGTGGGTGTTTGCGGGGCTCTATTAGCAGTTGGTCACTCGAAGCAGAGGCTTAAGCAACTTTAACTTCTCCTCCCACAAATACTGTAAACTGTCAAACTGGAGCAAGGGAAAAACATCAAACTAAAAATAGCATAACCCTTTTGACCGTTTATATGAATTACAGAAACAAAATGTTAAAAGCAGCTGTTTTAATACCCCTCTGAGACACCCCAATCAAGATTATCACTGACAAAAGGACTTACCCAATAACCACAATGACAAAATCCAGCATGTTCCAGCCGTTTCTCACATATGCATTCTGGTGCATCACCAAACCATAGGCAATAATCTTCAGAAAGGTCTCAATAGTGAAAATGATGAGGAAGGCATATTCAACTGTTTCCTGCAAAAACAAATAAGCAAAAATAGCAAGGAAATTAGCGTGATGCAGGAACTTTCCCTACAACTTTCATGTATTTCTAAAAATGTGCAAAATCTATTTATTGGGGAAGAAAGAGAAAAGGACCAAAGACAAATTCATCTAATCACAATTAGATTTTAACTTTGTCTTACTATCACAATTATGATACAGTAATAACCACCAATATATATTAAAACAAGTAAAATCAAAAAAATGCCTCTTAATTACAGTTTGATCAAAGACTGGTTCCTGGGAAAAAGGTAATAAAATAGCTTTTTTATTTCTAAATGAACTCATCAATTATGAAAAATGTAAGACTTTCAATATAGCTATTAAACTACTGCACCACAATTTATGTTATGGTCATTAATGCATAAAGTAATTCCAATCTCCTATACCACCTATTTGTGTGCCTATGCTGCTCAAGTTTACCCGAAGATCATGAATATATCAAATAACTAGAACTGTCATTCAAATTGAACTGTCATTCAAACCAATTATTGATTATTAGTTAAATGTTTATAACTGTAATTTGCTTATTTACCTGGGTTCTTAGTCTTTTACATAAAGGTTGGACTCATGGACCACTGTTTCAAATCCAGCTGTCTTCAGCAATTTCGTAATTTAGACTATGGCTATAAGCAGGGTTATTAATCACCAACCAAAAAAATTGTCTCAGTTCAAGGAGGGTGGATCTGACCTGAGTGATAAATCGCTCAGTGCCTTAAATAACGACGACCACAGGTTAAAATACAATGGTACCTTTATTAGCTAATAATAAAAAGGAATGACTCAGGAATGCATTAAAAATACATTGGTGCAGGAAAGAATGGGTTAGTTCAGCTGGCACCAGGACATTGGGCCAACTAGAACAAGAGAGTTAGAGGAATCAAATGGCTGATACCATAGGGCCGGCAATTATACCAGTCAGTCCAATGGTAGAAGCCTAACTTTTGAAACAAATGGGAAAAAAAGAACCAGGCTCAGTAAGCATTAACATTCAGTTCAGAACTCTTACATAAAACCCATCAGCAGTGGAATCAGGACGCTTATTTCAGATAAAACACAAATAACAGAGTATCTATTAAGCATCAGATGAAAGAGGGGAAATTATGTTTACTTGTTGACTCAGTGAAATGGAAGGGGGCGTGAGTTTGGATTTGCTCTGGCGTGCAGCTCGGTTCAGTTGGTTCCGTTAAGTCCATTTGTCCAAAAGGCATTCGAATTTTTCTGATGCAAAGAACAAAAAGAAACTTTGCAGGACTTAACTTTGGCACTCACAGCAGCCTTTGCATGGGGATCCACTTAAGGCTGTGGGTAGCTTGTAGCAGTGGCTCAGCACAGCTCCAAACAGTAGCCAGACCAATGGGTCACAGTCCGGTCGTTTCACAGCTCAAGGCAGCAGCAGAACCAGTGAGGCACAGGTAAGCGGCTTCTGTGTGGCTCCTTGGCACAACAGCGATTGGGCCTGGGTGTCCCGTGGGTAGACCAATATGGAGGTATTCTTATCTACTTCAGTAGGCGGATTCACAAAACACTACGTTCAATCTGGTTTGAAATGCATGAAAAACAAATTCCCTACATTCAGCTCCATCTGAATCGTAGGCAGGGTGCAGTCTAATTCGGCCAGCAAACACAGACTCTTTTCCGGAAGGGATTTGGTGGGCTACCGTAACCTCAGCTGAAAACTTGCGTGTCTCGCCTCACTAGACCCACAGGCCTCCAGCTAAGAGGAGCTTAAATGGTGGTTGGCTGCTTAAGTAGACTCTGTTGTAGGCATGTGAAGTCGGTCGAATTACTCCCGCTTATGTCATTGACATTTGATCCTCAACACCTGCTTAATGCTAAAGTCGTATCTAAATTAGCAGATCTGCACAAACCCTCCTCCAGCATCGCTATTATGTCTACACAGTCAAAAGACATCAATGGTTTCAAAATTAGTTTGCGTTTGTTATGGCATTTTACATCTGTGACATTTTTCTCTCTCAAAGATTATTTCCATTTCAAAGAAGGGAAAGATAAGATTTCTTGTAATTCATTGACCAACATGGCTTCTAGACAACAATGTGTTGTATAAAAAGCTGAATTAGTTTTGCTTTGCAACTGTGTACCAGGAGCATCTAGAGACCCTTTAAAGTAATAATTTAAGAATGCATGAAAGGTTGACTCACTTTTTGACGGTGTATCAACAGCTCCCATTTTTTTACTTTTACAACTATTAATAAAGTACATTGAAAACAACTTGCAACAAGATACAGTCTCAGGAATACATGCATCAAAACACAAATTATGTTGGCATGGTACTGTGTAGGTACTGAAGGTGAACATTTATTGAAGGTTATACCATGTGTGAGTTTTAGGAAATGGGCCTGGCCCCAGGGGCATGTAAGAAATCTGTTATGGCTTTTAGCCCTGAGAGCAGTGATGGGGCCTTTGGTCAGACTTTGGTCTTTGCAGTTAGGTAAATGTGCAAGAAAGTCATTTATGATTTGATCATCTGCTCCTGGTTAGACTGTTGTTTTCTCAAAGCTGCAAAGGACTGGAGGTATTTTAAATGTGGAAAAAGCTCTCTTTGAAGTGTATCCTTTATTATAATGTTTTCATTTTAAAATCTGAGATAATTCTGCATTTGTATCATTGATGTATTAAATTCTGTGGATGAGAACGTAAATAGGGTTGTGGTGTTACAGTTTTCTTTTTTTTTCACCTGCTAGGTGGATCAAGAGCCATATGTTTATACTGATAAGTATACCAACTATCTACAAATGTAAATATTGAGCTGTCATAATTTACATTATGCATCCAGATTAGTGTTTAATACATCATCCCAAATAAACTAGAAAAATAGCAAAAAAAAAGACAAATAAAGAGATAAGATTCAGTTAGCTAGTAGGACAAAAAGGATTTTAAAGGAGGAAAAATGGAAAACAAAACCCTAAATGAATTGGATTTAAAATATGTGCTTATAGATGTAGAGGGTACTGTAAGGAGAGAAACATGATATAACTCTACTGGTTGTTTTAAAGACAGAGGGAACACAGGAACATTAAGCCATTAGGTGGAGGACAACTGGATGTGAAACCAAAGGTAGACACACAATTATATCCAGACAAAGGAGGCTTGTCAGTTTGACTGTGGCTGATACAAAGAACACGGCTCAGCTTCTGTAAAACCGTTCTGTAACTTCCAGTAACACCAGAGAGACACCCTCAATTATTTGATCAGGTCACTGTAAACTATGAACAGATGGTATCCAATGCATGCAATGGATTGAAAAAAATATTAAACCACATAGATTTTTTTAAAAGTCTCATTAAAACGACAACCTTTACTTGAGATTTTACTTGGGACTCCTGGGATTTTGTGTGATAAACATTAAACAACACATACTTTATAGTTGTAAAGTGGACTGGGAAAAATAAATGGTATAATCTTTTAACAAGTGTAATTATAGAAAGGTCATATGTTAATTAGGGAGGGGAAAATAAGATTTTTTAATCATGAAAATAATATATTGCAATTAATGTTCTCTGGAACCCAGAAAATTGACATTAACATGAGGTGCAATAAGCCATGATCAGATGTCCAGGATCAGATGCTTGTCTCAGATCTCTGAATTAAAAGATAATCCTCAGAGTCAGGTTAAGCATATGCAAAACAGCTAATTATTCCTTAAAAAAGTTGTACCATCTTTAACACAGAAAGAATATTGTTTCTCGTAAAACAGAGGCTGCATGATCAACCTTCATACCTCTTCTACACACATAGTAATATTTGCAATATGTATAGTATATGGAAATATACAAATATACTACTTTGCCAAAACCTGACTGACTAAGTATCTTTCCATTCCTAATCCATAGGGGTTTAGAATGATGGTCAACCCTTTGCAGCTAGAACAGCTTCAACTCTTCTACAAAGGCTGCCTCTAAGGTGTGTTTACTTATGGGGATATTTGAACATCTTCCAGAAGAGTGTTGGGGAGATCAAACACTAATGTTGGACAACAAGGCCTGGCTCTAAGTCTCCACTCTAATTCCTCCCTAAAGGTGTATATCAGGTTAAGGTCAGGACTCAGTGCAGTCCAGTCAAGTTCATTCACACCAGACTCTGGCATCCATTTCTTTATGGATCTTGCTTTGAACAATAGTGCACAGTCATGTTGGAAGAGTACGGGGTTAGCGACATACTGTTCCTACCAAGATGGAAGCTTTGAAATCTCCCAAATTTTTTGGTATGCTAAAGCATTCAGAGTTCATTTCAGTAGAATGAAGGGGCCAGATACAGCTCCTTAAAAACAACCCCACACCTTAATCCCTCACCCCATGTTTCTACTTGGCACAATTCAGTCAGACAAGTACCATTCGCCTGGAAACCTCCAAAGCCAAATTCATCTATCAGATTTCAAGATGGAGAAGCCTAATTCATCACTCCCGAAAAATGTATGTCGTCTGCTCCGGGGGCCAATGACGGGGTGCTTTAAACCACTGCATCCCAGATAGGATAAACTATATAATAACAATTTTATTGTATGCAATAAAAAAATTCAGGATTGATTTAATTCAAAATCCAAATAAAATGAGATTTCAGATGTAGTTGGCCAGCTTACCCTGTTGTATCAGTGGAAATCACAACTTCTCATAAACGGGACAGATGGACCCAGTATTCCAGGATAATTCAGAATCTAACAATGTGAAGATTCAAAACGTTTAATGAAAGAAATAATAAAACGGAACAGAAGCACAGGCTGCTGGGGATAATTAGACCACAGTCGCTGCAGGGGGGCGGGGCGCAACCAATCATTGACACTCTGGAGAGAGAAACACAGGTAAGTGACCATGATCATCTGACAAGAGATGATTATCAGAGTGAGTCAGTTTCCTGGTTTAACAGTTCAGTCCATCTCCTTTTAAACAGGCGAGATCCAGTGGATGGACTGCCAACGAGACGTGGCATGGGCTGCCCAGAGTGTCCCAGATGCT